ATGTTTTTAATTATGTTTTCAATATATTTCTATTACTTATGTTTTATTAGCTTTAGGTAGGACTCATGGGATGGTGCATGCTGCTTCTCTTTTCGTTTCTTTTTCTGGGTCTCTTATCTATTTATATATATTTTCTATTTGTTTTCTATATATGTGTATATATATTATTTTCTGTTTTATATATTTTTTTGTTCTTTTATTTCCTCTTTATCTTTTTCTTTTACAGGATAGGTCATCGAGGGATAGGTTCATAAGCGACCAGATGGTACATCGCATGGCAGGATTCATCATCGATTTTTACGCGCGAATACGGGAAGGATAGGAAGAACACTAGCGCGCGTGTCGGCGGGCACAGGTGTGGGTGTTCTCGGGCGCGATTAAACTTCGTTTGATTGTTCGAATCGAAAACGCGAATTGTAGAGTAGAGTCATCGTTTTTCTAACATTCGCGTGGGTGTTCGGGCGCGATTAAAGGTCCTACCGTGGACTTCGTTTGATTTCTTCAAAATTCCGATGGGGGTACTTCGCGAATTTCGGCTTAACAGTAGAATCTACGTAATTATAACACACACGTGAGTGTCGCGACGCGATTAGTATTTCTAAGGAGTGCGCTTTGTTTGTGCGAAATTCGGGAAGCACAAATTCAGATGTGCTTAATTATCCGTTATGTCTGAAGCGGACGGTGCAAATGGTGGAGCTATCTGTAAGAGGTGTGTAGTAGCTAAGCTACGCATACCCTGTTAGTTAAGAAGCCAGTGCATTGAAGCGGAAAGGTATCGCGGATCGGTATCGTGGAACGCGGATTTTAGAGTAGAGTCACCGTCAGCCCGTGGGTCTCCACATGCAGCAACCTCCACGTGGTGAGACCTGGGTCGTTAATACTTGCAAAGTCTAATTGTAAATCTTATAACGCAAGTATTACCGAGCGAATGGCTGCATATTGTATTACTTTTCCAATATCTTTTCAAACTAATTCCAACTAAACATTAACATATTTTCATTTTATATAGTTAATAATACTTCAAGACAAGAAATTTTACAGAAATCTATTGTACAATAATTTCTCGGAGAAACGAAAAGGAAATTTTTCTATCTCTCTTTTATGTCCACTGTCATTTCTATTAATTCTTATTTACTCTCATTAATTATCCTTTATATATCTCGGGTGGGACCCACGGGTGGGGCCTGTGGGCGAGGGCTTCTGTGCGGGTTGCTGTCTCAGCATCATATAGAACTGTTTCTTTTATCTTATCTTTTTGGGGCTCTCTATTCTTCTCTCTCTGGGGCTCTCTTTTCTTTCTACGGCTCTCGTTTCTATCTCAAATTTTTCATTTTTAATTATGTTTTCAATTATGTTATTAATATGTTATTTCCTTTTAATTATGTATTCTTAATATTTATTTATGTTGTTTCTTTCTAACTATGTATTTAATTATGTGTTTAATTATGTGTTTATGTTTTTAATTATGTTTTCAATATATTTCTATTACTTATGTTTTATTAGCTTTAGGTAGGACTCATGGGATGGTGCATGCTGCTTCTCTTTTCGTTTCTTTTTCTGGGTCTCTTATCTATTTATATATATTTTCTATTTGTTTTCTATATATGTGTATATATATTATTTTCTGTTTTATATATTTTTTTGTTCTTTTATTTCCTCTTTATCTTTTTCTTTTACAGGATAGGTCATCGAGGGATAGGTTCATAAGCGACCAGATGGTACATCGCATGGCAGGATTCATCATCGATTTTTACGCGCGAATACGGGAAGGATAGGAAGAACACTAGCGCGCGTGTCGGCGGGCACAGGTGTGGGTGTTCTCGGGCGCGATTAAACTTCGTTTGATTGTTCGAATCGAAAACGCGAATTGTAGAGTAGAGTCATCGTTTTTCTAACATTCGCGTGGGTGTTCGGGCGCGATTAAAGGTCCTACCGTGGACTTCGTTTGATTTCTTCAAAATTCCGATGGGGGTACTTCGCGAATTTCGGCTTAACAGTAGAATCTACGTAATTATAACACACACGTGAGTGTCGCGACGCGATTAGTATTTCTAAGGAGTGCGCTTTGTTTGTGCGAAATTCGGGAAGCACAAATTCAGATGTGCTTAATTATCCGTTATGTCTGAAGCGGACGGTGCAAATGGTGGAGCTATCTGTAAGAGGTGTGTAGTAGCTAAGCTACGCATACCCTGTTAGTTAAGAAGCCAGTGCATTGAAGCGGAAAGGTATCGCGGATCGGTATCGTGGAACGCGGATTTTAGAGTAGAGTCACCGTCAGCCCGTGGGTCTCCACATGCAGCAACCTCCACGTGGTGAGACCTGGGTCGTTAATACTTGCAAAGTCTAATTGTAAATCTTATAACGCAAGTATTACCGAGCGAATGGCTGCATATTGTATTACTTTTCCAATATCTTTTCAAACTAATTCCAACTAAACATTAACATATTTTCATTTTATATAGTTAATAATACTTCAAGACAAGAAATTTTACAGAAATCTATTGTACAATAATTTCTCGGAGAAACGAAAAGGAAATTTTTCTATCTCTCTTTTATGTCCACTGTCATTTCTATTAATTCTTATTTACTCTCATTAATTATCCTTTATATATCTCGGGTGGGACCCACGGGTGGGGCCTGTGGGCGAGGGCTTCTGTGCGGGTTGCTGTCTCAGCATCATATAGAACTGTTTCTTTTATCTTATCTTTTTGGGGCTCTCTATTCTTCTCTCTCTGGGGCTCTCTTTTCTTTCTACGGCTCTCGTTTCTATCTCAAATTTTTCATTTTTAATTATGTTTTCAATTATGTTATTAATATGTTATTTCCTTTTAATTATGTATTCTTAATATTTATTTATGTTGTTTCTTTCTAACTATGTATTTAATTATGTGTTTAATTATGTGTTTATGTTTTTAATTATGTTTTCAATATATTTCTATTACTTATGTTTTATTAGCTTTAGGTAGGACTCATGGGATGGTGCATGCTGCTTCTCTTTTCGTTTCTTTTTCTGGGTCTCTTATCTATTTATATATATTTTCTATTTGTTTTCTATATATGTGTATATATATTATTTTCTGTTTTATATATTTTTTTGTTCTTTTATTTCCTCTTTATCTTTTTCTTTTACAGGATAGGTCATCGAGGGATAGGTTCATAAGCGACCAGATGGTACATCGCATGGCAGGATTCATCATCGATTTTTACGCGCGAATACGGGAAGGATAGGAAGAACACTAGCGCGCGTGTCGGCGGGCACAGGTGTGGGTGTTCTCGGGCGCGATTAAACTTCGTTTGATTGTTCGAATCGAAAACGCGAATTGTAGAGTAGAGTCATCGTTTTTCTAACATTCGCGTGGGTGTTCGGGCGCGATTAAAGGTCCTACCGTGGACTTCGTTTGATTTCTTCAAAATTCCGATGGGGGTACTTCGCGAATTTCGGCTTAACAGTAGAATCTACGTAATTATAACACACACGTGAGTGTCGCGACGCGATTAGTATTTCTAAGGAGTGCGCTTTGTTTGTGCGAAATTCGGGAAGCACAAATTCAGATGTGCTTAATTATCCGTTATGTCTGAAGCGGACGGTGCAAATGGTGGAGCTATCTGTAAGAGGTGTGTAGTAGCTAAGCTACGCATACCCTGTTAGTTAAGAAGCCAGTGCATTGAAGCGGAAAGGTATCGCGGATCGGTATCGTGGAACGCGGATTTTAGAGTAGAGTCACCGTCAGCCCGTGGGTCTCCACATGCAGCAACCTCCACGTGGTGAGACCTGGGTCGTTAATACTTGCAAAGTCTAATTGTAAATCTTATAACGCAAGTATTATCGAGCGAATGGCTGCTTATTGTATTACTTTTCCAATATTTTCTCAATCTAACTCCAATTAAACGTATTCCCATTTTACCTTGCTAATTATATCAAATAATCAAATAGATGAATGATTAGATATAGTAGAATACTAGAATAATTTTTTAAAAAAGCTTATAGGTATCTTTTCTGTCGCACTTATGTTCACATGCGTTACTATTTATTCTTATTCATTTTTATTAATTATTATTTATAAGTCTCGAGTGATAACCTTGAATCTAATTCTGATTGAACACTAACGTATTTACACTTATTATTACTAATAATACTTTTACTAATAAAAATTGTAATAACATATAATATAATAATAAAATAAAGAGAGATAATAGTGAAAGAAAATAATATAAAATTAATATGAAAATAATATAAAAATAATAAAAAGAAGAAGTTGAAAAAGAAATGTGTGTGTTGTGTGTGTGTGTGTGTGTGTGTGTGTGTGTGTGTGCTTATATATTAAATATTATTTTATATAATATAATTATTCATTAATTCTCGTACCAATTATTATATTTATAATTTTTTATGCATTTATATCAAAAAATTACATACCACCGCTGCGTCGTATCTATCACGGATTACTGCGATAGGCACGCCATCATTAAATAAAAGATATAAATTTGGATAAATGAAAAGTTTGAATTTTCAATTTATTACCACTATTTATTTTAACTCCCACTAATGTGATCATTATAACACGTGGTTAGCCTTGCTACTTGATAACCTGATACGATAGACTTATGACCGCGACAGTATTCCCCGTTGACGCTTATAGTTCATATTCTGTCCGTACATGTCGTTGAAGTCGTGCACTCTTCGAGTGGAAAATAATGAATAATCTAAACTAACCTTAATTATACAAAAAGTAATTCAAAATATAAAAAGGGATACATTAACGTTTTTTTTTCTTTTTTTTTTTTTTTTTTTTTTTTTTTTTTTGAAAAGAAAAGAAAGACTCATAAAAGAAATTAATGTATTGATGAAAATGAAAGAAGATATTTTTTCGAAAAAATGATAAATCGTGTAAAAAAAGATCCAGGCGAACATATATATAAATGTAGTTTTTAACCGTATGTATATGTAAGTATGTAGTCTTATCAAAGTTACTCATTCCAGATGGCGTAGCATAATTAAAGGTCATAAATACGCAACTAGTAAAATGATATATGTTACATATATGCTTTTAAAACAAGTAAATCGCGTGATAACGCGAAATAAAATTTTTTAAAAAACAAGTTATATAATCATCTTAATTTTATAGATATGCATCAGAATTTATTTACAGTTCTACTGTAAATACAAATAAGGACATATCTTTTATTATATATATAAAAAGTATATAGTTATAACAATTGTGTAATAGATATTATAATATCACAGTTATAAATTTAGTTGATGACAAGAAAGAAAATAGACCTTTATTCAATCACATGGATACCAATCAAGATAGCAACACTTTTGATCCTAAAGGTATGTAATTTTGTCATATTATATTATTGCAATGAATTTCTATAATTGATTGTTTTGCAGATCATCAACATATACGTTATAATCCTTTAAAAGGAGAATGGGTATTAGTATCTCCACATCGTATGAAACGACCTTGGGGAGGTCAAGTAGAACCAAACGTAGACGAAGAACTTCCAGATTATGATCCTAATAATCCACTTTGTCCAGGAAATGTTAGAGCTAATGGAGAGGTAATTTCATTATATTATTTATTACAATACAAATACTTAATATTTATAATATAACCCTTAGGTAACTCCTGTTTATCAAAAAACATTTACATTTGCTAATGATTTTCCTGCGTTACTTGAAACAGTACCTTCGCCATCAAAATCAAACGATGAATTGTTTCAAATTGAAGCTGCTCGAGGAACATGTAAGGTGATGTGTTTTCATCCAAAGTCAAATGTTACCATAGCACTTATGAAAGTTGATGAGGTTAAAGATGTAATTATAAGGTAAGAATATATAATAAACTCTATAATAATAGTAATATTATGTAATAAAATCTCAAGAAAAGTATTTCATATTAAATTACAAATCTCTAATTATTTTTTTTTGTTTTTCGTAAAAACAGATGGATATTTGAAATCCTTGACTTAAGTAAACAATGGACCTGGGTTCAAATATTCGAAAATCGTGGAGCCTTGATGGGATGTAGCAATGCACATCCTCATTGCCAAATTTGGGCTAGTTCTTTTTTACCAAATGAAGCTAGAATAAAAGATAAATATTTAGCTGAATATTATGATCGTAATAAGAAACCTCTTCTTATTGATTATATGGAAAAAGAAATCTTGAAAAAGGTAAATAAAAGTATAACACATATAATAACTTAAACGTTCTAAGTAGTATTCAAATTTATAATAATGAAAATTAATAGAAATGAATTTTAAAAACATACTTCTTTTAATTGATATATCTTAACTTGATATATTTTAGGATCGCATTGTATTAGAAAATCGCAATTGGATAGTAGTTGTACCATTCTGGGCAGTATGGCCTTATGAGACAATGGTACTTCCAAAACAACAAGTAACAAGAATGCAAGATTTATCAAAAAGTCAGCAAGAATCATTAGCAGTTATCATGAAACAATTATGCACAAGATACGATAACTTATTCCAGTGTTCCTTTCCATATTCTATGGGATGGCATGGTAATAATTATTTCATTGTCAACTTTTTTTATTATACATTATCTTTTTAAATAAATATTTGTACGTAATTATTTGTATAAAAAATAATAATTATATAACAATTAAAGGTGCACCAACTGGTGAATATCTAAAACAAGATTATCCATATTGGACGTTTCATGGAATTTATCTACCTCCGTTATTACGTTCAGCTACGATAAAAAAGCACATGGTTGGGTATGAATTACTTGCACAAGTACAAAGAGATTTAACTCCGGAACAAGCAGCAGACAAATTAAGAAGTTTAAGTGATATCCATTATAGACATCCGGAAAGAAGTTTATCAGCAGAAGAATTAGCAAAATACAATTAAATTTCTCTTTCATAACTTTTTTGTAGCATATCTCTATTTTAGAAAAAATAATACTTGTATAAATTATATACAAACATATGTAACATATATATATATATATATATAGATTTATATATATATAATCGCAGATGTATACACATTTGTATCATAATGAAATATTGAATATTTCATCAGCCCGAATAATCAATAAATAGGAAATGTTGAATCGATTTTATTACTCCAGGCATGAATTCCTCCAATGATGTCTTTTATGTTTAATTTACTATCTTTAAATATCTCTTGAAGATGTTTTACTGCTTTCTGTGAATCATTTCCTCTTCTACATAAAACATAAACTAGAAAAAAATATATACATACAAATTACCCTTTTATTTTAATGTGCTTAATAATAATTGTTCATTCTATACCTTTTGATATTGTTTTTCCATTATCCTGCTTGTCTATTTCACTTTTTATTTGCTTAGTAGCATTATCCTTGTAAATCTCATACAATGGAATATTTATAGAATTTCTCAAACGACAAATTTGAAATTCTTCGGGTGAACGCACATCAATTAATAAGTGATCTTCTGTGTTAAATTTTATTATATGATTATATGTTTCAACTGTTATTCTATCTTCATTTTTAAGTAGATTTAAATTAGGATTTTTATCATTTGCTTTTGCACCACAAAACTGTTCATAATCAATTAATTCTTTTATAATTGGATTTTTTCCACAAATGGCACATTCTTGATTCCTGGTTCGTAAATTGATATTACGAAATCGTGTTTCAATTCCATCAAATACTAACAAACGGCCAGAAAGTGTTTCAGGCATGTCAAGAATTACTTTAATAGCTTCCACTGCTTGTAAAACACCAATTGTTCCAACAGCTAAAAATAATTGTGTTAAATGATAACTGTCTCAAATACGTTATTATAAGATATTTCAATTTAAAGATTAATAACCTGCTCCAAGTACACCACCATCACCACAATTAGTTACTGTTTCAGGAGATGGTGGTTTAGGGAAGATACATCGGTAACAAGGACCTTTGTAATTAAATACAGACAAATGTCCTTCAAAACGCAATGCTGATCCTGAGATCAAAGGTTTGTTACTTAAAACACACGCATCGTTTAATAAATAACGCGTTGCTACATTGTCAGTTGCATCCAATACAATATCATACAATTCTATAATTTTTAAAGCATTGCTACTGTCCAGTTGAAGTTTATAAGGAGTAACTTCTGTATAACTATTTAACCTAAAAATAAATACATAGGAAATAAATAATGATCTATGTATTTTAAAGGATAGAAGTTATCAATTGTAGTAAAAGTGAAAGTTAAGGAAATGAAAGTAACGATCATATACTTGTTGAGAAATTCTGCAGCTACAGTTACTTTAGGCATTCCAATAGATCCTTCCGTGAATAAGACCTGTCTGTGTAAATTATTAATTTCAATATTATCATAATCGACAAGTCCAATACGTCCAATACCACTGCATGTTAAGTATAATGCAGAAGGACAACCTAATCCACCTACTCCAACGATAAGTACTGAAGATTCCTTTATCTTTTTTTGTCCTAAAGATATAAATAACATAAGAATTCAATTTATAAAGAAATACATTGGAAACATTTTGCACCACCTGTTACACCAATTTCTGGCAAAAAAATTTGCCTGCTATATCTGCTAATTTCATCGTTATTCAAACCGTGGTCACGTGGAATTTGTTTCGCGCGCCTTATATTAGCTAACTCAGATTCCTTCTCATGCAAAAGCTCACGTAATTTAGCAATCTCATTTATCAATTCTTCTTCCTCCATGCTTCTATTAAGGAAAGATAATAATAGAAAAAATATTCAAAGAATATTATTTCTCTTTGAATCAACGTTACTATTTTATAAGTTATTTTTGTGTGTATTATATACTGTGTACGAAGTTCTGTGCTGTGTATAAAGTAATGAAGCCATGGGCCTCAAATTATAATAAGAACTTTAACTCTCTACGACTTTAATTCTATATCTATAAAGTTAGATGGTGCAATAATACGTCGATGTAATTTCCTCGAATGTATATGCACTTGTATGTATATATTAAATTTCGTTAATAATATATAGATCGAGTTATATCGTATTTGAGTAAAATTTAAATACAAAACATTGATTGTTTTGATCTAAAGTAACAATTCCATAACATATTTTTAGGAAGACATTTTCCAAACTGTTGATACACATATATGTAATTCAGAACGTGCGCATTGCCTCATTCATATACAAGTAAAAAAAATATCTATTAGCGCGCCATCTGACCTTCCGAGTACGAAATTAAAATGGTAGGCAGTTTCTTTTTTAGATTAGAACACGGAAGTTCTCAGAGTGATCTTTCTTGTCCGAATTCTACTGTTGGTGTGTTGTAACGTTTAATAATGACGACTTAAATTTATAAATCGTTAGAAGAGAAAGCATTCTGTGATTACATAAAATTGTAACTTCTGTTTTTAGTTTTCTTTTTTTTTTTTTTTTTCGTAAACGAGAAAACATAATAACCTTCGTTATTAATCGCTAGTAAATAATAGACGTGCTAATGTGGTAATAAAAAGCTATACACAAAAAGGATGATATACGTAATCATAAGATCTGCGTATTTACTCGTACAGTGACGTGCGCAATAGAGACGGCACAATGAGCAAAGGTGGTAGGAAGCTGACGATTAATGTCACGGTCAACTGAATTCTAGTTGTCTTGACAAGTGTGTGCAACAAAAAATGCATATATTTTAAAAAAAGAAACGTGCATTTGGTTGAGAGATTTATTTTTTTTTTTTTTTGGCTTGCTCTCCCCCCTCCACCCCCACACCTCTCCGCCGTTAATCTTTCATCGAGATGGTGGAGCCAATTTTTGATTATCAATTTCGGCTAATACTGATTGGCGACAGTACGGTCGGGAAGAGTTCGCTCCTGAAATATTTCACCGATGGGAAGTTCGCAGAGGTACGATGCATTTTTGTCCTCTGTGATCATAACTTTTTGATAAACAGGAAGTCATCGTTATGCCTTGTTACATCTACTCTTTTTGGCGTCATGACACTTTCTATATTTTTTTTTGTATTTCTATTAACGCATAATGTATGTGGACATTAGTCTGCACGCGTCGCAGTATTTTGTAATCTAATCTTAAATACATACTATAATGTTTCAGCATATCATTGATCTTTGGTTATGAAAAAATTAATACTAATGTAATTTTAGTTGTTAAGTATGAATAGCTTAATTATTAAAAAATTATTATAAAATGTAATCGATTGTTTTATCAAACTGTTATAATGTATTTCACGTATTCAATATGTTCTTATTATTAGAACTATACATATTCTATTAGTGACTTTATAGAAATTTTCATTTTAGCTCTCAGACCCAACAGTCGGTGTAGACTTTTTTGCACGCTTAATTGAAGTTAAAGATGGTACAAGAATAAAATTACAACTATGGGATACAGCTGGACAAGAAAGATTTAGGTAAATTGTGATTAAAATTGTATGTGTGTATGTGTATATGTGTAGTACTCTATACATATATATATATATATATATGTATATATATATACATATGTATATAATTTCCTTTGCATGTCCTATTATATTTTATGTATAATAACCTGACGTAAAATGCTATTGCATAGATTATATTATTTTTACTTTAGGTCTATAACAAAGTCTTACTACAGAAATTCTGTTGGAGCACTACTTGTATATGATGTATGCAACAGAACTAGCTTTGAACATATTCCTCAATGGATGATGGAAGCACGTAGGCACATTGAACCGCATCGTCCTGTATTTGCATTGGTAGGTTGTAAATTGGATCTGGTAACAAATGGTGGCAGAAGAGAAGTATCGAAAGAAGAAGCTAGAGCTTTTGCTGATCAGCATGGTGTACATCATATAGAAACTAGTGCAAAGACAGGGGTCAATGTTGAAGAAGCATTTCGAACAGTTACTCAAGAAGTTTATAATAGAATACAGACTGGTGAATATAAAGTAGAAGATGGTTGGGATGGTATTAAAACTGGATTTGCTAGACCCGGTGGTTTAGATTTTAATTTAGTTGAAGCAGAGCCTGCAAAGTCTTCGTGTTGTTAAATTAGGAATGACTTTGATTTATTGAAAGAAACAAATTATTTTATAATAAGAAATCAATTGTGTTGAGATTTCATTTAAGACTGCTTACGATCTACATTTGATAAATAATTTTCATTTTATTCACTAAAGAATTCATATACTATTCACCCCATATTTATGTTAAATAATATAAGCAATGATAAATGTAAAGATATAGAAAATGAGTCTATAGACATTCAACACAACTGATTTCATCCAGGGAAAGTAGCAGAAAATTTAATACGTAGTGAATTATTGATTACATTTTTTGTACCATAAATGTATGTTGAATATTGTATATTCCAAATACTTTTTCCAATGTTGTTGCGATAGTAACAAATACAATTTTCTGAGTAGAAAATATATACAATTTTTACCGCATTCTTTGTTTTAGACAAAAGACTAACAATTATACATAATGGACATTATGCATACATATGAGAGGTAGAATTTTTTGTATATAGTATGTATAAATTAAAAAGTATATGAATGATTAAAAACATTTAAAAATTCAGATAGGATTGTTTTTTTTTATTTCATTTAAAAACTAAAATATATGTATTTTCTTCTGAGTCATTTTTGTAATATGTATTCTTATAATAATGTATTACAAGTTTTATGTATGCTATTATAGAAATACTTTTATATAAATCTAACTTTCTGTTATATAACGGCTGTGCTCTTTGTTGAAATTATTTCATAATGAATGAAATAATAAAAAAAAAATGTTACCAAGTCACATTTCTGAAAATAGTTTAGATTTATAATGTAATACATTAAATTATTTACATGAATGTACGTTAAAAGTATCTGTAATTCATTAGAGCATACATTGTATAAAGTGTTAAAGAAGAAGAAACATGAAATTTATATGCTTTTTTCTTTTTTCTTTCTTTTTTTTCTTTTTTTTTTTATTGAATATTTTTAACTTATAATAACAAATAATATATCTCATGAATAAGAAATCAAATTATAGATTGTTATTTTATTATATTGGTACATTTGAAAACTTTTTACATGAAAAAATTCATGAGACTTCTTCTTGCAATAATAATATAAATCAATTAAAAGTTTGTATATAAAATAATTTGTGACACAATATATTTATACAACATAATTGTCATGACAAAATATTGTAATTGGTGTCTGATTATTTATTGGCACAAAAAGTAAATGTGTTTTGCATTATTATATAGAATAACAATAAATACCTGTTTATTATGTCATATTTTATACATTATAACAGAAATCATGAAAACATAATGTTATACAATTTATTAGAAATCAATTTGATAAAAATTTACTACAAGCCAATTAAACATAATTATTTTGTTTAAATATAATTATAATTATGTTGAGTTTTAATAATAATATTCATAATATATGTCATGTGCTAAATGATATATGACTTTGTATGCTGATGTAAATAAAATTTTAATACTATACTTTTTATCTATACATTTTACAACACATTTATTGCATATTTATTTAAATTGATTATTAATGTATATTACTAAAGAAATTATGAACAACATATAATTGAATAATATCATTTAAAAAATATCATTTATATTACTCTAAAATGAATATTATTTAGCTTTGGTGTCATAATTGTATAAACAATATTCAGGATACTAATTCAAAAGTGTAATGCTTATAAATAATAAACGAAATTCCAATAAAATAATTGTATCATTATTAATTACATGGGAGAGATCATTCTTGTGTGTAATTTATTGTTTCAAATAATAATAAAAACAAAAATACAATCAATTAATATTAACAATTCAAATAAATATCGTAAAAAATAATAAATTATAAAGATATATAATGTCAATTTTTTACATAAGTACTTCACTTGTTGCTATTGACATTCAAGTTATAAAATACAACAAACACAATATATAAACTTTTATCTATAATAATAACAAAGATATTGTAGCGATCAAAGATTTAATATAAACTTCAACTATAATATTCTATAAGATATAGTTTTGTATTTATATAACATGAATTAAATGAGAGTAAAAAAATTGCAAAATATATATAAAAGTATTACAATAAATATTCATTAAACATCGTACACATTAAAATGTAAATATTGAAATTTTTTCGATAATAATAATGATAATTCTACATTAGCTTATTATATATACTATTATTTATCTGATAAACAATATAGAATAAAATATACTCGATGATGGTAACGTTTATTTTCTGATATATGCATTAATAATGCAAGAAATTTTCATTAATATGATAAGTAAGGAAATTGCAAATATTTTATTTATATTATTCTTATTATTCTAATGAATCACATCCAAATAATACGTACTCTTCTCGTGATAACCAAAAAGGATTACCTTCAACATATTCGGGTGGTGTTTTATCTATAAGTTATTTAAAAATACAAATTATTTAAAAGTCTTAATAACAAACGTTCATCATTATTACTATTTAAGCTTATTAAGAAGAATAAAACGTATAAATATTAATATTACCAGGGTGTGTAGCTAATGATACATGTGTAGATCCCATTGCAACATTCCAACCGTGTGTACCAGGACAACTTCTTATTTCCAAAATTTCACTATATTCAGGTAACAATTCTCGCAAATCTTTAGTTAGTCTCGATTTGAAACCAGATAAATCTGTATTACCCCCAGTAAGCAGTATGTGTGAAAGACAATCGTGCATTGTATCTTCCGACAAACCAGATGTAACTTCTTTTATTACTTCTGGTAATCCAAGACTAATATACATCATCTCAGGTGCAATATATAATTCTGAACCTAATGACACCCTTTGATACATGGGCTCATTTTGTTCTTCAAACGTTAAATGCTATAAAAAAAAAGTTATTACTGTATAGTTTTATGTATTGCATTTGTGTTTATAAATTTAATAATTACCCAAAATTGTTTGAATTCATTACAGCTGTCAATTCTAAGATTAATATGTTCTTTTATTTTCTGTACTCCTTCCCTTTCCTCATTTTTAATATTATAACTCAGTCTACATCTCTCTTTTACAGCTAGAGTATCAAGATAAGATATTGGAATTTGATGATATTCTTTCCGTTTCCAGTGCATAGCTTGTTTCAAGTGATAAGCAACATGCCAACCACCTACTGGTAACAATTTCCAACGTTGAGGCATGACTCTTCCGCCAATTACTACAGCAACTGTTGTGTTTAATGCACCACTATCGACTACAATACATGTTTCTACATCCAATATAGCACATGCTGTCAAAGGTTTTGGAACCAAACATACTCTGTAAAATATGTAAATCACAAATAATGTAAATTTTTGTTTTTAAAATAATAAAAAATTATATATAACAAAAATACCTTGTTACTTTAACTTCTTGAAATAAATAGTGTAATAATTGTTTCCTTAAAGCAGGATGTATAGCCAATGGCTCGCAAAACATGAGTACTGCATTTGGCTTTTTTAATGTTACATTTAAATCCATTTGATGAAACAAATGATCAAGAAAAATTTTAAGAATTAAAAATGTTCCACTATTTAATAAAGCTTCGGCTGGACTAAAAACTTCAATATTTGGTATACCAAGAATTTTTACGGTATCTGTACAATAACCATTTATAAGTTTCTGATAAATAGAATTAGATTTTGTAAAGGAAAGATAACTATGAAGTTTAATTAATTTTTTCTTTTCTTTAAATAATTGAAATGGATTACAAAATAGACAAAATAGTCTTGTTGTAGGTAATTCAGTATCATGAAATCCTAATAATTTTAATTTCCTTGCTAATGATTTTCCTTTACTTATTGGACATGTACTACAGCTTGGTATATTTGGTATCAGTACCTCCTCCTCATATTCCTTATTAAAATGTTTTGGGACGGCAAACATAGAAAAATGCCTCTTTAAACAATCAGATGGTGTAATTGCCCATGTATATTTATTTCCTATTTCGATTATAACTTTAGCATTTAACTCTTCCACGCAATTTCTTTGACACGTATATCCATTGCAATTGCAACACTTTGGAAATCGTACATTTTCACCTAATGTAATTATCATATGCAGTCTATAACACATTCCTTTAAAATTGACAGAAAATGATTGCAACTGCTTTATGTCAGGAAATTTAAACTGTACTTGCGATAATAACTGTAGCCATTTTACTTTCCTAAAATAAAAGAATCAATGAAAAAAAAAATATCATTATAATATTCATTAAATATCTTTATTTTCCAGATATCTTAATATAAACAATATTTTGTTTATCAACATAATTGATAGAGTTTAAAGACTGCTGACTGACAACTTAACCTCTAACTCACCATAAATATTCGCTACTTGATGTTTTTCTTAAATAACTACAGGTATTACCAAATGCAATAATATCAGGTACATCGCAATGTAATAAAATTTTTATCCAAATCTCTTCAGGAAATATAGCTGGATCCATAATCACTAATAAAAATGATATAAAAAAGTATAGTCACAATCATGAATTAAATCTTCAGGACATTGAATACGTTAGTCAAATTCAAGATTATAATACTAGCAGTAAATTGACTTAAGGCTGTTCATCAACCTTGGTTTTATAATGGTTTACGCTAGCAATGAGTAGAGACATAATTATTAACCGATTGTGATAAACAAGGTCTAATTTTAAAAATAAATGTTTAAACAAGGACAAGGAATGTTTTAAATAAAGAAATGGAAATTTTATATGAAACTTTATGTACGTGAAATATAACATGTTCTTAAAGTATGTTATTATTTCAAATAACTTAATACTGTCATTTAAGCTTACAATTAATCGCATTTAATTAAAAAATGTATAAAAATTATTCTGTCAATAATTGACAGCATATTTAATTATTCGGCATACTTAAAATAAGATGAATTAGAAAACTTCTGATAATAATGCTTCGATATATGGATTTTTATGAGAACGAATTTCTTTTTTATATTCTAAGATCCTATCTCTTAGCTCTGGATTTGGTAAAGATTTATCTAATGTTTTGCATTTATTGAGAAACTCGGCTATCAAACCATCAGCTTCCTATAATAAAATTATATAAAATGTAAATAAGAATATTATTATATAAATAATGTAACATAAATCAATAAGAAACTATTATTTTCAGACCTTTATAATTTTTCGCTTTTTTTCTGGACAATTAGATCCTTCAAAAACTGTTCCTTGATAATCCTCTAATTCTGTTTGTTTTCGCTTAGCAAACTGTAATACAAATTATTAATTGATTTATCTTATTTTTAATACAAGTTATATTGTTCCAAATTTACCTCTATTACGTTATTTGGAAAATTAGCCATTTTAGCAACATGAATACCAAAGCTTTGATCACAAATACCAGGCTTTATCTTATAAAGTAAAGTAAGTTTATCGTTTTGTACAAGAGCTGTTACGTGTTGATTTTTAACAGTAGGTATTTCCTCAGAAAGTCTCGTAACTTCGTGAAAATGTGTTGCAAATAAACAATAAGATTTAATTTCTTTTGCTAGATGCCTAAAAAAGTAAATATCATATTATTCAAAAAATAATTCTATTGTAAACAATATATGTATCATTTTAGATTAAAATATAAATTTTACTCTGCTATGGACCAAGCAATACCACATCCTTCATACGTTGATGTACCTCTACCAAGTTCATCAATAATGACAAGTGAATTAGATGTTGCTGTCTATAAATAATATAAACATAATTCAAAAAATTAAAAAAAAAAAAAAAAAAAAAAAAAGAAAAAAAAAGTTTCTTCTTGAAAAACACAATGTCATTTATTAATTTAACATACCCTTAAAATAGCAGCAGTTTCTATCATTTCCATCATAAACGTTGAAAGCCCTTTTAATTGAGAATCATCAGCTCCAATTCTTGCTAATATACAATCCAATAAAGATATTGTTGCTTTATCACAAGGAACAAAACTTCCAATGTGTGCCATTAATGCAGTTACACCAGCAGAGCGTATATACGTACTTTTACCGCCCATGTTTGGACCAGTTATAATGTAACAATGAATCTCATCTAAAATTATTTAAGAATTAATATAAACTATGATAATCTTTAAAAACCTAATATTTCATTAATTTATTATGTTGACCTCTTTTGAAATATACGTCGTTAGCGATATAATCTACACCGTCTTGTATTTCCAAACAAGGATGTCTCACTTGAATAAGATTAAATTCGCCGTGCTCACTAGAAAGCATTTCTGGGCGTATGTATGCTTTATGTGCATTTGCTGCAGCTAAGGCAAATGCCACGAGAACGTCAAGACACGCGATAACATCTCCAATACTTTTAATCGGACTAGTATATCCGGCTATATAAATTCAACATATAATAAAATACGTATAAATTCTGTTTATCACTATAATTTATAATTATATACTAACCTGCAATTTCAATAATTTCTATAACAACAGTTTTCTGTTGAGTTGTATATTTCTCTCTAACAGCAATATATTCATCATTCAATTCACTTAATTTATTATTTCTAAATCTTACACCACTTTTGTTAGAGTCTAATATAGAATAATTCTTTTTATTTCTTAGTACCTTTTCTTCCTTTAACGTTATTCGAAAGTAATAGCCAAACTGTTGATTGGTTTCCAATTTTAATGATTTTCCTGATTCTAAACTCAAATCATCAGCTACTTTACTTAATTGAGATTGTACTTTTTCTTCCATTTCATTCATTTCTTCCTTTAGTTCTGTTAGGAATTTATTATTATTATATTAGGATTTATATACATTTATATGGAATATAGATAGAATTAAAATAAAAAAAATGTAACGCTCGATTTTTATCTTGTTGAATAATAAACAAACATAACAACTACCTATTTATACCTTTCAATTCATCGTCAAAATCTGGACGTACTAAAAAATCTCCCTTTTCCGCTGCATCTAAATCAATAGTCTGCTCAATCATTTGTTGAAATTTATCCATATCGTTAACAAGTTCTTTTAATGGATTTATAATCAATTCTTTTAATGCTGTTATATCAGAAGCATCAGAAAGTTGTTGTATCAATCTTGGCAAATGAGACACGCTTATATAAATCCTGCAAATAAATATATAAATTTATAAATATAACTAGTATAATAAAATAAATTATTTCTCTGTTAGTTCATCTCAAGATATACAATAAAACAGAGATTTTTTATATTGTAAAATATAATATTAGTTACATACTTGTAACAGTCTTGAAGATGAGCTTTTTTTCTACATAATTTTTTAGCTAATTGTTGTAAGTCTGGTATACGTCTTAAATGATCTTCGCTAAGGGCAGATCTCAATTCATTGTTTTTGACTAATACTTCTACAATATCATGTCTTTCTTTTATAAGTGCCAAATCTGTAAGAGGCTGTCTAATCCATTGTGCAATTAATCTATGACCTTGTGGAGTTCTGCATTTATCCAATAAAGTCAAAATACTTGCAGGTACATTTCCATTTAAATTAGAAGATACATCTAAACGAGGCTCAATATTAAGAGCTTTTATAGCTGCTGTATCTAATTTTAAATAGCGTGATTGTTTTATATGTTCTAGGCTAAATTGATGAATATTTCCCTCATCAGATGTCAGCTGAAATTTAATTTTAAAGTATCATTTATCTCTATTAAAAAAAAACTTTTCTTTCTTAAAAATTATAATTATATGAAAAATATACTTACATCCAAATATTTAATTAATGCAGATGTAGCTGACATAGCTAATGTTAAATTTACTTCAGGTAAAGATTGAGCATTTTGTTGCTGGCCTTTTTTAAATTTGATTAATGTATTTAAATCTTGTACAACTGAATCACTAGAAAACTCGCTCTTTTTTCTTAAAGTAACTAAAATATTACTTCTTTCTATTACCTAAAAAAATATATGATAACAAAAATTAGATAAATCTAATCTATAATATTTCATATAAAAATATATTCTCTAAAATTAACCAACCTGCTTTAAAGTATCAAACTCATAACTACCTTCTCCTTGGACTAGCAAACATTCTTTTGGATTAAGTGTAACAATAAATGTTTCTAAATTTGAGAAAGATTCACTATCTTGGAATTCACAAACTGAGAAAGAAGTTGCTACGGTATCAAGACAGCTTAAACCTACGATCTATATATCATAAATTATAAAATATTATACATTTTATTATAAATATATTTCTACATAAATATACATCAGTAATTTAAATAAAACCTATAATAAGTATAAATCAATATTGTTTTATGATATACAAACGTTATACAAACGTTATACAAACTTACTCTGGATTTTCCTTCTATCCCTAATTTTATAGCAATTACTGATACTCCAAGTGCAATATCATTGTTAGCAAATAATGTATCTTCAAATTGTGACAGATTACCAGGTGATCCTTTATATTCTAATACCCAATTTTGGTTTTTTGACGATCCTTGATTGATGTAAACTTCTACTCTATATTGTTTTACTAATAATAAGTCACGTATAAATGCCTCATAATGACTTTTATTTAATATAACACCTTCAGTTTTATGAGGTTCTATAATAAAAAAATTAAATTCTTAAATAATAATTTTTTATAACAACAAAATAAAAATTTTATAATAGCTTACCAGCACCAAGCATTTTGCAAACAGATGTTGTTTTAAAAACTTCTTTGGCGGCAAATAAAGCATCGCTTCCATGTAATGTATAATAATCACCTCTGTTAAAAAATCGTATAGTAGAACTTGATTTCTAAAATAAACGAATTAACATTTTTTTTAAATAGTTTTTTAATCAATTATATTTTGATTAATAAATTATTATATATAGTAACATTATAATTTTGTATCCAATGGATATGTTAATAGAAATTGTATATGTACGTGTAATTTATACTTATTGATGTTATATATAATTGATTAGCATCAACCTACTTACTAGCCTTGACCTACTTACGCAATGAACACACTCAGAGTGATAAAAATTATTAATGTTAATATTGATGTTAAATATGCGCAATTTAAGGAAATATTTGTTCTAAAAATTAATATATCTTGTATTAATATTAATTAATATTTGCATATGTACAAATTTCCAAAATTCAATAAATAAAATTCTATTTTAATTTAAATTTTATTTTTAATAATAATTGTATTGTAAATAATATTTTAGATATATTACCAAAACGGTATTTTAAACAGGATATATAATACAATTTTCAGAAATATTTATTCACTCATTACTGAGAAAATTTGAAATCTTGTAATATATCTATAGGTCAATGTCTATCGGAAGGTCAGATTGTTGAATGAGTATAAATAAAACATAAGAATTCTCGAAAAGTATTGATGCACATACTTCAAGCATAAAATAATACAAAAATACATAAGAATGAATTAAATAAGATCAAGAAAATTTTGTATAAATAAATACACAGTTAAATGAATAATGTGTTATAACATTTTATAGATCATTGATTAAATTATAAATTTACATAGACTTTATTTTTATTATACTATATATTATAATATATATATTATAATTATTATGTTTGTTATATATTTATATTGTACTTTGAAATATATTTATTGTATGTTGTGATCTATATTTTCATTACTGATTATTAAAGTAGTAGATATTCAGAAAGTATTGGTACAATCCAGAAAATCTATTGACGCCCATAATAATGAGGTCATCATGAAATATTATTATGATAAAAGATCAGAGTTCATATTCCAGGAAGACAAATAATTTACGTTATAAGTAGGCTACCATAAAATTAGGCAATATATTTTATTTAATTGAAATTAATGTATAATCATAATTATTATGCGAAATGAATATTAAAAGTTATTGTAATGTTATAATATTAAAAGATTGTATACTTGATTTTTGTTATATATTTTATATAATGAGTATTTCTTTAGTACATAAGAGTAACCTTGAAATTATATTTGCTAATCTTGTGAATGAAAGTAATAATACAGTGAAGATCTTATAGACAAAGGATGACTTAATCTGTGACACATCACACTAAATATGGAAATGCTATTACCTGGAAGCCAGTATTACTTTTCATCCTGCTTTCATTCTTACATAAATAAAATAAATCATTCTTATTTATGTTATAACCCAAAGACATGTACATTTATATAATTCTATAAGAAAAACTAAAGAAATTTATTTATATGGTTATAAACAGAGAATTATTTATATGATAAGATATATTATATATGCATATAAAAAAAAGAATAAATAAATAAATAAAAATAAAATAATATAAATGACAATAAATGGGAAATGTACATTTATATTATATTGTAGAATTTGATATACTTTTACCACGAAGTTTCAGTGATAAGTAAGTATATGAAGAAAAGAGAAGAAATAAGAAAAACCCAGAATTCTGATTCGAAGAAGGGGAAACAGACATAAATGCTATTGCTGCAATCTGCTTCTGTTATATGTCATTCTTCAATGTTAGTGAGAACATCTTTAGATTAACAAGTGAATTAAAAGTGTGTCTTGGTCATTTATTCCAAGGTAATAAAGCAATATTTTTTAATAATAAATTTTGTTATATTACGAATATAATAGAATATAAAAATTTAATTAATGAATAATTTCAAAGATTATAATAAATATTTTATAATTAATGATAAATATAAAAATCATAAAAAATTCATAACTTATTTACTGTTATCTAAATATGTTTTATATATATTTGATTATTACGTACAATTTACTATAAATTTTAACAGAAATCCTCTTTTTTTATTTCGCAGACCAGTCTAAATATGGCAATGAAAAGGATAATTATCTTATCCATTTTATTTACACAATCATTATGTGCACCCAGTGGTTGCATAGAAAGCTGTACTACTACTTATCGAAAAGTCAATTCTTATAGAACTCATCAAGTATCTAGTAATCTTAATGATCATGCAGATTTGGTAACAGATTCAAATATAAGAAACATAAATCATTTAAATCTTGATTACAATAGACCTGGTAACTGGACAGAACAAAATGAATATAAAACTGATGGTGGTCATGGTAAAGTTTACGAAGAGCAAGGACAATATGTTGAAGGTTCAAAGCGTGTAAGATATTTTAAAAAGAATTATACTTCTTCATATACTAATACTCATGTAAATAATCCAGATTTAATACAGTCAGAAAGATTAATCAATCAAAACAGATACAATTCTATGCATAATACGGACAGTCAAAGAATATATGAGCAATCAAGAAATTCAGAATCATATAAACAAGAACATAATTATAATAAATTACATAATGATAAATTACAACAATCATACAGAGGAAGAGAAAGTCATAATGGAAGACATGAGATTTTTGGAGAATTAAGTGATAATTTACAAGTGAATCAACATGGAATGTCTGGTGGTAATTCAGAATTGTTACAAGGTCAAAATCGACACATTGAAATAAGACCTGGCAATTGGTCTCAAGTTAATACATATAAAACTGATGGAGGACATGGACGTGTTTTTGAAGAGGAGGGACAATATGTTACTGGTCCAAAAACAACTCGTTATTACCAACAAAATTATACTTCTCAATATAGTACAAGCACCAATCCTAAACATGAGATTGCTTCAAATATACATGATTTGCAAAATACAATACAAAAAGTAAATCAGGAATTCAAAAATCTGGAAACAGAAATTCATCGATCATCTCATTCCAAACATATGGCATCAAGTAACACTTTGCATACAGGTACCATCAATTTAATTCAAGACAATGTAACACCTAGTTATAAAAATAATGATCTACAAGTTGCTGAAAGTGCTGATTATAGACATAGAGATCAAAATGAGTATATGCCTACTATTGGAATAATATATAATGTACCTCAAAATCAATTGCCAAACAGACAAACTCTTACTGCTGAGGATGCATTATACAGAAATCAAGACAATATATATAATAGAAATATACCAAATATTCAACACCAAAGAGAAGAAACATATATTTCTCAATCTCATACAAATGTTTTACCCAGTCATATTCAACCTCAAATTAGTGAAAATAGTAATTATCAAAGACACAGGAATAATGAACAGATTGGACTACAACAAAAGATCAATGAGGATTATCAAAGAGAACATTTTGATACACGCCAATCACAAATGAGACAAAATTATCAATCTGTAGATAATGTACAACATAGTAGATTGAATGAAAACATTGATAATTATCCATATACAAGAGATCAAAGAATACAACATCAACAAGATTGGGATGCTATGGGACAAAGAAGTGAAATTGTTAATACTAATCCATATGACAGAAATCATTATTCTTCACATCACAGAAGTAGGGCATACAACATGGAAGTTGTTCGTACAGTAGGTGAAAATTACAATCCTGGCTATACAGCACATTCACAACAAGTAGTTACTGGCACACATGGCATTGATCCAGGAATGCAATATGAAGATTGTACTCATGAAATGGAGCAAAGTCAACATAGATATAACAGAAAATATAAACGTAATGCAGACTATCATCGACATAGTGACAGTCAGCAACAACAGCAATATGGGAGATTTCCAAAAAATCTAAAACATCAACCAGAAAAACTGGCATATAGTGATAATGAACTTCAATTGTTACAACAACAAAATCAAGATTTAACTCAACAGAGTGAAGACTTGACACAACAAACAAGTGGATTTGATGACTTAACACAACAAACTTCAGGACATTTAGAGTTTGGACAACAGACACAGAATCATGGATATCCTAGTAGTCAAAAATATGAAGATTTGACTCAACAAAACGAAGATTTAACTCAACAAACAGGTGGATTTGATGATTTAACACAACAGACATCGGGACATTTGGAAATTGGACAACAGACACAGAATCACAGATATCCCAGTAGTTTAAATCAAAAATATGAAGATCTAACTCAACAGAGTGACGATCTAACTCAACAGAGTGACGATCTAACTCAACAAACAGGTGGATTTGATGATTTAACGCAACAAACTTCAGGACATTTAGAATTCGGCCAACAGACACAACAGGTACAGAATCATAGAAATCGCAGTAGACATAATCAACGTATTGAAGATTTAACTCAACAGAGTGATGATCTAACTCAACAAACAGGAGGATTTGATGATTTAACACAACAAACTTCGGGAAATTTGGAATTTGGACAGCAGACACAACAGGTACAGAATCATAGAAATCGCAGTAGACATAATCAACGTATTGAAGATTTAACTCAACAGAGTGATGATCTAACTCAACAAACAGGAGGATTTGATGATTTAACACAACAGACTTCGGGAAATTTAGAATTTGGACAGCAGACACAAAATCACAGAAATCCGAATAGTTTAAGTCAAAAATATGAAGATTTAACTCAACAAACAGGTGGATTTGACGATTTAACACAACAAACTTCAGGGCATTTAGAATTCGGCCAACAGACACAACAGATACAGAATCATAGAAATCGCAGTAGACATAATCAACGTATTGAAGATTTAACTCAACAGAGTGATGATCTAACTCAACAAACAGGTGGATTTGATGATTTAACACAACAGACTTCGGGAAATTTGGAATTTGGACAGCAGACACAACAGGTACAGAATCATAGAAATCGCAGTAGACATAATCAACGTATTGAAGATTTAACTCAACAGAGTGATGATCTAACTCAACAAACAGGTGGATTTGATGATTTAACACAACAGACTTCGGGAAATTTGGAATTTGGACAGCAGACACAAAATCACAGAAATCCGAATAGTTTAAGTCAAAAATATGAAGATTTAACTCAACAAACGGGTGGATTTGACGATTTAACACAACAAACTTCAGGGCATTTAGAATTCGGCCAACAGACACAACAGATACAGAATCATAGAAATCGCAGTAGACATAATCAACGTATTGAAGATTTAACTCAACAGAGTGATGATTTAACTCAACAAACAGGTGGTTTTGACGATTTAACACAACAGACTTCAGGACATTTAGAATTTGGGCAGCAGACACAGAATCACAGAAATCCAAGTAGTTTAAGTCAAAAGCATGAAGATTTAACTCAACAAACAGGTGGATTTGATGATTTAACGCAACAAACATCAGGACATTTAGAATTTGGACAACAGACACAGAATCACAGATACCCCAGTAATTCAAATCAAAAATATGAAGATTTAACTCAACAGAGTGATGATCTAACTCAACAAACAGATGGATTTGATGATTTAACGCAACAAACTTCGGGACATTTAGAATTTGGGCAACAGACACAACAGACACAGAATCGCAGAAATCGCAGTAGACATAATCAACATATTGAAGATTTAACTCAACAGAGTGATGATCTTACTCAACAAACAGGTGGATTTGATGATTTAACACAACAGTCTACGGGACATTTGGAATTTGGACAGCATACACAGAATCACAGAAATCCGAATAGTTTAAGTCAAAAATATGGAGATCTAACTCAACAAACAGGTGGATTTGATGATTCTACGGAACAAACTTCAGGACATTTAGAACTCTGGCAACAGACACAAGAGGTACAGAATCATAGAAATCGCAATAGAGATAATCAACATACAGATGATTTAACACAACAGACCTCGGGACATTTAGAATTTGGTCAGCAACATCAAAAACCAAGTAGTCATAATAAGCGTTTTGAAGATTTTACTGATTGGAGTAATAATCCAACTCAAACAAGTGAATTTGATGATTTAATACAACAAACATTTGGACATTTAAAATTTGGAAAACAGTTACAGAATCAAAGATATTCTACCAGTCATAATCAGCAATTTACAAGTGAACAATATTTTCATCCAAGTGTATCTGGAACTGGAGAACAATCGGATCTGAATGAAAATAAACCTTTACATTTACTGACACCAGCACCAAAACCGAAATGGAAACCAAGATATACAACTTCTAATCAATTCACAACTGATATCAATAAAGAATCAAATGTACATATTCATCATTCAAGTGATGTTGCTGATACAACTATTTCATATCAAGTATCAGATGATTCAAAATCTAATCAAGAAATTGAAAGAAATAATGAGTTTAACTCTGGAAATCTTCAATCTTCAAATCAGCAAGAAGTCTCAAATCAGCCAAATATTCAAACAGTCGATAAAGATGGAAGTCAGCAACATCAACAACAAAATTTCCACAAAAGAATTGGGTTCACTAAAGGCGGACATAGATTTAGACATATTTATAGACAATCAACACAAAGTGAATATCAAAATAATTATGGAGAACCTCAATCTCAATTAAATCAAGATCCTAATCGAAAAGAAATATATAAGAAAGAAAATCAAAACAATAATCAAGAGAATGTCCCTTCTCAAAACAATAATCCAGGTGGTAAAATAGAACCACGTATTTTAGTAGCATATGGTGGTGGCCCATATGATGCTAATCATAGTGATGATATTTTTAATCATGTAACACAAAATCCTAGTGCTACGTTACCTCCTTATTCAGATGGTGTAGATTCATGGGATATTAGAGAGAAACCAAGAGAAGTAATTCCTCTGTCCACTACGACAACAGTAATACCAGAAATACCAGAAACACCAGAAATAACAGAAAAAGTTGATACCGAAGCTCCACCAACATTCTGGACAAGACTTGGTTTTAAATTTACAACTACCTTTGATAAAGCAAAAGAAAGAGCTAAATATTTGTTCGGTTAAATATAATTTTTTAATTTAATTCATTTTTAATCAATATTCTATAAAGAATTATAATATATATGTTTATTTACCACAAATAATATATTCAATTTGTATATAAGCTCAAATAATATCAATATTCAATTTATGATATTATAATCTAAGCATTTTCACAAATTAATCATATAATTTAGTATTATAAATCTATAAAGCATAATGTATTAAAATAAATATAAAATTATGATGCAGATTGATTTTTTGTAATTTTATAATTATAAGTAAATACGTTATCATTCCACAATGGTATCATAAACTTTTAAAACAAAATAAATATTAATATTACATATAAACGTTTACTTACTTCTGGAAGATTCTTGAAATATCTAACGAAACTGATTTGAGAAGGTGGATCTGAAATATTTAATTATATATTATTATAACAAAAGAGAGAACAACTTAAGAACAAAGGTTATTTACCCATACTAAATTGTTGATTTGGTTGTACAGCCATTATTAATATAAAAATAGTACGTTTAATATTTTCGAAAAAAAAAAAAAGAAAAAAAAGTAGAATTAATAAAAAAATTAAATAATTGAAAATATACACGTCTCGAAATTAACCGTATCGTGTAATTAGATTCACGCACATTAAGTTCGAATATGATAGAAGATTTTTCAGCTTCCCGCAAAAAGATGATACTTGTAACAGTATAAGAAAAAAGTCTCTAAAATGTAAAAACAAATGTCTCTAGACAAACTTTTATACTGAACGTCATAGTTTGACTAATATCATCGTCAAAGTATTGGTTAGAATTTTAATTATCGCACTTTATAAATTTTAAAACATCATGCTTAGAATAAAATAAGCAAGTGGAACTCTTAATTTATTTATTATAAAAAAAGTGATCTCTTCTAATCGATAACCTTATACTGAAATCGATAAACGTATACTGAAGTATGATAGCAGTGAATCACATGTATTACTAATAAATTAGTAATTAAAGTTGTGAACATTTGATCTGTGAAATATATCACAGCGGATAAATATCATTATATGGCTGTTGTTCGAAAAAATTTTATTTGAAATCTAAAAAGAATATGAGTTTCTGCATATATGATTCAGATATTGTTGTATGCAACAATGACCATCTCATAATATACAACATCGATAATAATTTAATAAATACCATAGCACTACCTCAGTTGGAATGTAATAAGGTAGTTAATATACATAACAATGTAGATATAGAATCATATCACATGATAATAAGTACAACATTTTCTAACGATGGCAAATATTTTTTGGTATGTACAAATCGTAAACAATTGTGTTTATATGAAAGAAAAAGTAAAAGGCTTATATCAAACAGAATATTATCTAGAGCAGCAAGCAAAGTAATATTTTCTCCAAACAATGATATAATTGTTGCCGATAAAGCTGGAGATGCTTATTTATTTTCTACCGCAAATCCTATAGAGAATGGAACTTTACTCTTGGGACATTTATCAATGCTGCTGGATATACTTGTCACGGAAGATGGAAAGTATATTTTAACAACTGATAGAGATGAAAAGATTCGTGTATCGATGTTTCCATATTCGTATAATATTGTATCTTATTGTCTTGGACATAGTAAATTTGTAACGAATATTTGTGAACTACCTCATAAAAAAAAAATTCTAGTATCTTCGGGAGGAGATGGAACTTTTATGTTATGGAATTATGAATATGGTAGAGAATTATTAACCATTAATTTTAGTGAAAAAATTGCTAAATATAATATTGACAAATTTAATCAAATTCTTAAAAGTAATCATTATGAAGAATACGTAAATGTCTTACCTGTGAAACATTTAAAAGCTATGGCACTTGATAAATTATCGTCTTTACTTGTTATAAGTTTTTATAGTAGTAATATATTACTGATATATATCATTGATGAAACAGTGGAATCACAATTAGCAGCTACTTGGATTGAAACTATAATAATGGAAGATGAACCTTTAGATTGTTTTTTAAAAAATCATCGAATGTGGGTTTTAACCAATTCAGGAGTGAACATATATATTTTGAAGAATAATCATTTTGTATTGGACTCAATTACAAATAATACATTAAAAGAATTGAATGAAGTTTGGATGTCATTGAATAATAATACACTTACGCAAAATTTATTCCCTATTTTGTACAAAAGAAAATATGATAATGTACAACAGTATTTAGAAAGAAAAAAAACACGTCTGTCAAATACTTTGGAATAAGTATTTTCAATTAACAAAATAAAATTCCAAAAAAAGAAAAAAGAAAGAAAAGAAAAGAAAAATAAGCATACAACCTCATGTATTATAAATGTAAATTCATCTCATTATTTGAATAATAAAAGCATGACAAGTTTACATGAATTTATATCAGACAAAATATATTTATGACGAGTTAAGCATGATTAATATATTATTAATATGCAAATTCACATGAAAATGTATGTATTGTTAAGATAAAATAAGGCTATTTTATTGATTTATTTGTATCATTCACTAAATCACAATAGCTATGTTGCTTTCTTATACTGGTTTGTAATCTAACTTTGATTCAAGTTTCTTATTATCTGAAACTTTCCTTACAGCTTTCATAAAATCTTCTTGGACAACATATTCTCTCTCTAATCTTATTGCAAATAATCCAGCTTCTGTACAAACATTTCTTAAATCTGCCCCATTAAATCCATCTGATAATTTGACTACTGCCTCATAATCTGTATTAAATATTAGCCAATTATTGTTAAATCATGAAGATTATGTATATTATACATTACATATTAATATATTTACCAATGTCACCATGCTTAGCAATTGGACCTGCATGAATTTTCAAAATTTCAAGTCGTGCTTGTTCATTAGGTAACGGTATTTCAATCTTTCTGTCCAAACGACCGGGTCTTAAAAGAGCAGGGTCCAAAGTATCAGGTCTATTTGTTGCCATTATCATTTTAACTTGACCTAAAGAATCAAAGCCGTCCATTTGATTTAATAATTCCATTAGAGTTCTTTGAATCTCTCTATCTGCACTAGTTCCCTCAGAAAATCTTCGCCCGCCTATGTAAAATCAAATATTAATAATATTAAGTAACATTTCTTTTGTGTATATATTTTTTTCTTTTTTTGTATATACTATTAACTTTATCAGAATGCCGTTTCTATATAAAAAATTTTACCTATAGCATCAATTTCATCCATGAATATAATACATGGTTGATGATCACGAGCATAATTAAACATTTCTCTGATCAATCGTGCTGATTCTCCAATATATTTGTCAACAATAGCACTTGATACAACTTTCAAGAAATTTGCATCTAATTGACTAGCAACTGCCCTTGCTAGTAGTGTTTTGCCAGTACCAGGTGGACCATATAATAAACATCCCTTAGGTGGAGTAATACCAACTCTTTGAAAGAGTTCAGGATTTAATAAAGGTAATTCTATAACTTCTCGTAATTCACGTATTTGTTCGCTTAAACCACCAATAGCAGAATATGTAACATCACCAGGATCTTCATGAGACATATTGTAAACCAATGGATCAACCTAAACGAGATAAAATACAGTTTATAACAAGTATAGACAACTGAAGTATAACATACATTTAATTATTGCATATCAAATTATTTTTACCTCACGTGGTAAATAACGCATTATAGTTAAAGTTGTCATATCAAGAGCAACTCTGGTTCCAGACTTTAATTTATTTTTATCAAGTTGACGTCTGCAACCAACAACATAGCGAGGACCATTTGTTGCTTTTACTATAACTGAAATAACATTACATATTTTTTTTATACTTTTTCTTAAAATAAAACAAAATGTTTCTAGATCTTTTTTCTTTTTTGTTATATAACATGGTTTTATATTTGTTAAAGCATTTCACTTACATTTCTCTTCTGTAAGTTGCTTAAGAACCTCACCAACAATCTATGGAAAGAAAATATATGTGTACACATATTGATAATTTTTTACACAAAGAAATATTTAAAACTGTACTTATTAAACAATATGATTTATTTACCTGACCAACACTTTGAAGAGCTTTCAAGTCATTTTCAGACTTGTCATATTGTTTGGTCAAATCTTTTAAGTGTTCCCTCACTATAAATATAAAAAAATATTTACACACACACACACATATATATATATATATATTACACATATACAAAAAGTATAATTTTATATTTATATGTATTTAATTATAGAGGAAATAATAAAATATAAATAACAATTAATAATAAATCAAACATGAAACAAAGAACTATTATAGGAAAATGAGGTTAGGTAATATATATGTTTTTGGAAAGGGTAAATTATCTAAAAAAGAAAAATAAAAATATATACATCTTACTTTCTTTTAATCGTGATTCTACTTCTTTGTGTTCCAGAAGTTTTTTTCGATAATTTTGAAGAACCTTTTCTCTTACAGAATCCATGGTGACCGCCATTTTTACTTATTTTGCTGTATAACTGTCATTGAGAAAGTTTCTAGGTAGATTCATATAGAATTGACGAAGTTTACTAACTTCATCCTCGATTGTACTTCCATCTACAGTTTGTGATTTCAATGACGGAGTATAAAACAAAATGAAAGTATATAAGAATAATAATCTAATTATTTTCTATTATTTTTTTTTTTTAAACTGAAAAATTTCAATAAAAATATATTTAATTGATAATAATAATTAAACTTTACAAACTGTTATTAATTACATATTAAACATCTTTTATTTTGAAAATGAAATTTGAACAGATTCAAAAAAACTGCTATTGAAATAAATTTTGTATTAATACTTTATATTTTAATATTAATTTTTACATTTATGTTTTATTACAATTATTATGTTTTAATTACAATTACATTATAAATACATGATAATGTTTATCACAAGTATATATCATAAGAATCAAATACACTCAATTCATGCTTATATTTTTTCAAAACAAATTCTTATAACTCAATGAATAAAATAAAAATAATATATAAAACAATTTATCCTAGTTAATTACCTAACTACATTATTAATCCTTTTTTTGATTTAATGATGCATTTGTTTTTTTAAACTGAGAGACTTTACAATAAACTCACATTAATACAAGAAAATCACTTTCATTGCAATATATATAAAAATAAATGTATTACTTGAAAATTGCACGTTTCGATATTTTATAATAAAATTATCACCAATATAATCAATTTTTTATTCTCGTAATTATATTCATACTTTTATGATTAATTAGTATTTTGTAATTGAAAATCTTAGAGGATAATTTCATCAATATTTTTTGTTTTAAGTTTATTAATTGTATAATATTCATTCTTGTACTCTTTTAAATGTACAAAATACCATCAAAACTCTATTGGAAACTAAATTGCATAGTAATACTGTAGATAGTTTAAGTATTTTCTTCAGTCTTGTTTTTTTTGTAATTTTGTTACAAACGACCTAAAAACAAAGACGCAAAAAATATCGGAAATTAATATATTTTATACATTTAAATATAATTTTAAGAATAACTCAAGTATCATTTATTTCATTTACTTACTCAATTATATTCGGTAATATTTTATATCGACAAATATATTTATGTCCAAGTTCATATAATGCTTCTATTCTAACCATTTCAATTAGATTTGTTTCATTTTTATGATAATTCAATCCTGCTTGATACAACTAAAATATATATCATAAAAAGATATATTGTTTATTTTTTAAATACTTCTAATAGATATATTATTTCAGGTATAATATTTAAACATACTTTTTCACCCAAATATAATGGTATAATGTTATCATCTTCAGCATGTAATATCATAACAGAACAAGTAATATTTTTAATGTGTTTGTCAGATTCAAATCGTAAACCATTGTGATAGAAAGGTTCTACAATTAGCCAATTGAACCATGGTAAGTGTTTAAATATCTGTATTAAAATGAATAAGACATCAGAAATTAAGAAAGAGGGGCATATTTTTAAAAATATAAAAATAAAAAACCTGTGCAAATGGATGCTCGCTTATTTCATCAAGAATATTATTGAAAGGTGATTCGAGTATCAAACCCGTAGGCATTATACCTTTAGCACCTAATAATGCTAATGCATGCGTGGACACTCTATCCTCAAAGAATTCGTATTAAAATTACATTTTGTAATATTATATATATATATATAATAATATTAAATACAATAATATATATGTAATATTGTATACAAGAATATTAAACACATATGAATGATTGTCTAGAAGAAAGATGTATATCAAGGTTTCATAAAATTTACAGAAAAACAAAAACAATTTTCATTGTTCATTGTAACAATTAAATAAGTAGCTTCTATAATATGTGCCTTTTTCTACACTCTCACTCATATCTTATTATATTTAATATGTATCTATAAATATATCGAACGATATTTGAACTCTTACCCAGTACCCAAAGAATGTCCCCAAACAAAAACAGGTGCAGTGCCATTAACTTTAGCCATTACCCATTCAATAATATATTTACTATCATTGACGATACCTGTTTCTGAGAGGTCTGCTTTGTCGCTATCTCCATAACCTAAATATCATATTTAAGATTATACTCTGTCAAACAAATTAGAGAATGAATATGAATAATCTTTATACACACTTCTATAATCAAAGCACACAACATGATAATCCAAATTTTGGAAAAGTTTATAAAGTTCTAATCTGTGGCTACTTGCTCTATTTCCACTATTTCCATGCATATATACAAAAACTGGTTTACTACTGTTATGTAAAGAAGTTTCAAAAGCTTCATTCGTTGGAACAAATGAATCATTTATTAAAGATTGCGGTAATATATGCCTGAAAACAGATAGACAATAATGTAAAAAAAAGAAATAAATATATATATATATATATATATGTATAATACCAATTAAATTTTATAGTTATATTTCTTGTATTATTTACCATATTCCTAATTTTACGTGTTCATTGGTATGCAAGTAAAAATTTCTAACTCCTTTCAAGCCAAGAATCTCTGGTTTCGAAAAATCAGTGTTAAGTGGCCAATATACTAAAAAAATAAAATTTATTATTTTGTTTGAAGAATTAGTAGATTTGTTGGTACCAATGTACAAAAGGTGAATATTTACCAAAATTTAAAAAAAGGATTTTTTTTTGTACTGTATAAGAATAATGAAATATAATAGGTAAAATACCAAATAAAATAAGATAAGTTAGAATTGATACTTTCATGATCCACAATAAACATCTGAAATATATATAGATAGTATTAGAATTACAATTTATATATATCTCATAATAAAAAGAATAATAGTTAAAAAAGCGATAGTAACATCTATTTATAGAATATACTTATATGCTATACTCCAAGTGTAATTAATATGTTGGGAAAGCATTATATTAATGTTATTTGGATTATTTGGTCATTTAATTTGCTTATGATATTAAATAAGAGAAAGTATATAATTAGATATACCAATAATTAACCACAGAAGTTTGATTGATTCAACAAAGTAACTTACATTCCTGTGTACCAAATATCAAGGACGACGAATGGTATCACTGCTGCTAAGAGTAGGTAACTCGATCGCATGTTTGTTAGTAGTTACCAAAGCTTAAGGATTCCTGTCACAAGTCCTTTTATGATGTAAAATACTTTCAGTTAGCAAAATTTATTGCAGGAAGTTATAAAAGCACATTTTATTTGGAATGTTATGTTCTTAATATTCTGTAATTGATGTTTCAAGTATATATGCATGTATTTTATAGATGCATATCATTAGTTATAAGAAAAATCTAGAGATAATTTATCCAAATGAAATGAGTCATAAATATATGTATAAATAGTAAAAGTAATTACATAATCATTCTATTTTATAATTTTATAATCTTTAAATAACTTTATCCAAAAAACTTTGTATAATAAAACATTGTATAATCACGTGCAATTTGCATGAATGCAAATTTAAAGATATTAATATAATTAATTATAATAATAATGAAGAGTACTATATTTTTTCTTTTTTTTTTCTATTATTTATAAGTATGTAAACTTACTTTTGCATTAGAAGCCTGTCTTTGTTGAATAATGGTTGAATCCGTTCGTATACTTATAAGTTAATATATTAATGGTAAATATATACAAAAAAATTTTTATATCTCTTAATCCTATTAATTCTTTAAGTCTTTGTTATCATGCAGGCACAACAAAAAAAAATTGTTACCTTTTTATTAAGCGTTTTTTTGGCAACCAATATAACATATTAAGTGAATATAAGAAATATTGATAAATCGGCACAATTATCAATATTATTATAATACGTATAATTATACTTCAACTATGATTGTAATGAACTATTATAAAATATCATTAAAAGAAAGCACACTCATTCTTTTTTCTGTGTTAACAATAATTAACTATAATATTGATTAATAAATGATTAATCTTTTCAACATTTAAATTCAATGTTTAATTAAAACATTGGATTAAAATTCTTTTTTATTTTTTCTAATATTCACAAATTATATTATAAAGAAAAAATAATTATCATAAATGAGCAATTATAAATCACTATTAAATTGACCTTTCCGAAGGAGCTTAGAAGATATACTGAAAGGAATCAAAGAAAGCAGACAATAAATTAAGTGCTTACTTCAGAACTATAAAACGGTATGACGTATTCCTAAATAATCGACGGAAATTACGCTTTATGGTTTTTTCACGAATTGTTACTATATTCTTTTTTCTTTTTATGTCTTTTCTAAGTCCAATTTTAATGTAATATTTATTAAGTAGAAATATGTAATGTACTAAGTATAAACAATAAAAAATTTCGAATAATTAGATTTGATTTTCGACAAAACAATTTGTTAAAAATTAGATCACATTTGAACAGATCATTAAAATCTGTTTGTCAGTGACAACTCTTTATATGAATTGTATTTTATGCAATTTACTTTTTCAATGTTTTTGATACACGCTCCTCTATCGTTGTTTAAGTTAAGTACTTTACGATCGATTATATTCGTTTAAATATTGAGTTTATATCTCTATATTTTTATTATTTATGGTAGCCATATATACAGAAAGGTTGCGACCAATCGCGTTATTTGATTGGCCTTTGTAACATTGACTGTATCGGTAACAATCGAAAAATTCAACATGTTGGAATTTTACTGCTACAGTTCTTACGTACAGCCAATCAGATTGCAAGGTTATTAATATCATACATTCGGCGCGAAAAACGAAGCACTTACAAAATATTGAATGCATAAATTTATATTCATCCAAAGATGATATAATGCAAAATTTATTTATTCCATAACAATTGATAAATTTACTTTAAAAATTTACAAAGTATTTCTTAAATATTTAAGATAATTCACTTCTATAACTTATATAACAGTAAACGAAGTCAAACGGATGTAGTAACGTTGCCATAGCAACGCTACGTTACGGAATATTGTGTGCATGGATTCCAACGATACGTTTACGGTTATTCTTACGGAAAGTCTATTTGGTCAATCTAAATCTTTTAATGTTCGAACATTATATTTACTTCATAAAAATCAAATAAGAAGTTTAATGCTATATTAGAATAGTCGTAAGTACATATTTTTTAAATATATAAGCTAGAGAATAAATGGAAAAATAAAATAATTTTTATTTCTCCACAGTATAATAATTTAACAATATTAATTGCAGATGAGTCGCAAAGAAGCTTTATCGCAATTTATTCAACAAATTCATGGCAGACCTGTAGTTGTTAAATTAAATAGTGGCGTTGATTACAGAGGTATATATCTGTTTTTTTTTATTTAATTATTATATTTTGAAATTTTATAACCAAAATTTTAATATGCTAATCATTGTAAATGTTCATAGGTGTATTAGCTTGTCTCGATGGCTATATGAATATAGCATTAGAACAAACAGAGGAATATGTTAATGGACAATTAAAAGATAAATATGGTGATGCTTTTATACGTGGTAATAATGTATTATATATTAGTACACAAAAGCGTAGAACATAGCTATGAAATAAAGCAATTTATTTCATAATTATACATTTTTATAATGAACACAAATGAAATCTTTTTTTATGTTAGCATTAGATAAGTGATAATATGAATATATGATATTAGTTTCTTTTATGTAATAAAGTTAACAAATAAATTCTTAAGGGATATCATAAATGTTAATTAATTATTCGTATAAAACATATATATATATATTTTGTAATACAAGTTTTCTCAATTTTTTTATATTTTTAACAATAGTATATGAATCTATAGTTTTATCAATCTCAAAGTTTATAATATTATGGATTGTTTGAATTTCTTTATTTTGATATTTCCATTTCAATATCCTCTCCTATTTCCTTTTTCTTCTCGTTTTCTTTCATAGCTTTTAATCTAGCGAGTTTTCGTTCAATAGCCATCTGTCTATTTTTTTCAATTCTTTCTTTTATTTCATCACTTAATTCTGAAGTATTAGTTTGCGAGCTGCTTGTTTCTATGACTTTATCAGTTTGAGTAGAACATTGTTCAAATGCATTTACAAATAACATATTAGCACGATCATTTATAGATATATCATTTTTGTTAAGATTGGGTTGTACCAACGTTTCCTTTTGTTTTTCAATTTGTTCGGCAATTAGTAAATCAAATGCATCAACAGTAGAATTACTTTCTATAGGTTCATCATCACTTACATTATTCTGTGAAATTTCACCATCATCAAATGATATCATATCATTTCTATATTTTGTTACAAATACTGACAGGTCTTTTTTAGAACCAAGCTTCTCTGTTTTTTCTAAAAAGTCATCAAAATCCAACTTTGGGAACAATCTATGCGCCCAATGTTCTAATCTTTTCATAACACGGTCCAAATCCTTTTTTTCATATCCTTTTCCATGAAATTTAAATCCTTCAAAATGTTTCTCAATGGTATGTATACCTTTGGGACCTTTCAATCGTTCTGTATTAAGTTTAGGTATAGGATTACGTGTGACATGCTTTTCTGACTTCGAAGGATTTTTTGGGACATTCTCCTTTTGTTCTTCTTCATCAATATCGTTTAAATTTTCACTATCTTCGTTCGCATCTTGTTTTTCATACTCTGTCAATATTTCATCCTCGTGGTCAGAAAAATTCGACAATGCAGTCATATTGACAAATCTTTATTAGTAAAAAGTATATAAAGATAATGGAATAAAGTAGTTAACTACACGTAATATTGTGTTATATGTTTGTAAACATCAAACTATTCAGAGAACTGGATTAGCTGTCTTTTGAAAAATCTTAACCTAAAAATCGCTATCATCGTTATCTTCAGAAGTAGATGTTTCTTTTTCCATAAAACTATCGAACTCTCCGTTAGATTTATTCATTCTTTTTAACAAAGATACTAACAATCTTTTGTTGAGATGATCCGTTTGCGTAATTTCTCTTACTACTTGTTGATAATTTCCATTCGAGGGACGCTCGGTTTGCAATTTCTGCAATGTATCTCTATTTGGTTCTATTGGCGTACCCGGCATTTTTATTTCGATTTTGATATATCACTCTGATATATCAGAAAATATATATAATTGAATGAAAAATATCAAAATATGTTAGATCAAAAAAGATATGCAACAAGAATATTTCTCTTTGATTATTGCAATTCACGTTTGCACATGCGCCAATGATTTTTCTGTGAACGTTTTCTGAATACGAACGATGAAACGGATTAACTTAAAAATAATATTTTTATATGTTCCAATATCTACATTTGTTAAACATTATGAAAAATGAAAATATCTCTTAGCGGAAAGAAATAAAAAATAATACGTATAATATATTTTATACCTTTAAAAGAGATTAGAGACATGTATTTATCATTAAGAATAATTTTTTTGATAACATTTTGATGTAGATATATACTTTTTCATATCGTAATTGAAAGATTTTCTTATTAAAATTTCTTCTTGGTTAAAATTTATCTACGATTTAATTTCTTGTAGAAATTTCAACAATTCGAAAATGAAACGGATCATTAATGGCATCGAATTAAATCAAATGAGTTACGTTTCGAAATTGATTTCCTACACATGCATGTATATATATATGTATATATATGTATATATATATATATATATCATAATGGATATAAAAGCAAAGAAAAGTTCGTCATTGGTAACATTCTGGATCCTAGAAAGAACACGTATTTGATTCTTAATCACGTGGTATGTTCTATAATATCATTATTTATTCGTACGTGGCATTTGTGACGTGATTATCAGATTTATATGTTTTAATTCTATAAAACATATAACGAGTTTCTTTGAGGAAAAGAAAAAATAAATTTTTTGTTACTACTTCTACGATTTTGCGGGATCTTTGGAATAACTAAAGAGGATAAGCAGGTTGGTCTGTCTTCAACGAATAAAATATATTTGAATATTCAAATTGTATTTGGTTTTTAACCACGTGGTCTTCCCTATGATATCACTATTTATTTGTGCGTGACATTTGTGGTGTGAATGTCAAATTTATATTTTGCATATTATTATTAGAATATTTTAAATCCTGTAAACATATGAGTTTCTTCGGGAGGAAAAACAAAATTAATCTTTTGTTACTATTTTTTACGATTTTTTGGAATCTTTGGAATAACTAAAGCGGATAAACAGGTTGGTCCCCCTTCAACGAATAAAATGTATTTGAATATTTAAATTATTGCTTTAATCGTCTTTGAAAAAAGTACATATAATTTCGATTATTTCAACAAATTTTTTAAATGGATTTATTCATTTATTAATTTCTTAAAATGTCACTTAACATTGTCGATCGATGTTAGGTTAAGTTTTATACGATCAATTTCGTCTAAATTTGTTTATTTTATTTTTAATACGTGCATATATATAAATTACGTCTTAAACGAGTTAAAATTTAAATAACGTCTGTTTTTTAATTTTTTTTCTTTTCTTTTTTGTTCCTGTTCTCTCTCTCTCTCTCTCTCTCTCTCTCTCTCTCTCTCTCTCTCTCTCTCTCTCTCTCTCTCTCTCTCTCTCTCTCTCTCTCTCTCTCTCTCTCTCTCTCTTTTCTTTTTTATTTGTTCCAATATGAAGCAATTTAACATATATGCGTATATAAATATATATACATATATAAATATGCATATATAAATATTTATATAGGCGATTAAATTCTTTTCGGTAATATATCAAATTTTTTTAGTTTTTTTTCTTTTTCGATTTTTTTCGATCGTCGATTCAAAGAAATGTCAATGAAATACCAATTTCAAAAATCCGTTACCGATAAATTTTATAAATAAAAATCTATATACGAAATCTTATAAATAAATAGATAAAAAAAGAATGAAAGTGCAAATTCCCGTGTGTTATTCTAGTTTTATATTTGTACTTTTTGTTAATTGAAATTAATCTCTATTTATTAAATTTTCTTTTTTATCTGTATATTTTTTAACGTATGCAGATAAAAAAAAAAGAAGAAAGAAAAAGAAAAAAAAAAAGAAAAATAAAGTTGTTTAGTCTTTACATAATAAATTATTTTTCTTTTGTACCGAATATATTTGTTTCGATGGACGAATTCATTCGTCAGATCTATACAGATTTTATATTAATTAATAACACTAAAATATTTATTAATATAAGAGTGATTAGTCATTTATTATACATATTGATTTACTTACATTTTCATGATATTAAATCCCAATGAAACGGTCACACTAATATCAATATCATAATTAATTTATAAGTATAATGTAGTAAGTTTGATATTTATATAGAAATGATCAATTTCTTATCGATCGTTCTTTGTAGTTTCACAAGTTACGAAGAGCAAATTTATTTATTTTATACTGTTAAGAAACGAATTTATCAATCGATTCTTTCATTTTAATTCATTCGTGTGAATAATCCATATGTATGTATTTAATAATATATTTATAAAATGATCTACTCCTTGTTTATTTCTTTTTTTTTTCTTTTTTTTTTTTTTTTTTTAATGACAAGAAAATATTTACATGCAAATCCTCGTTAACAATTTTCTTTATACATTTCATGAATAATTAATTTTATGACACAGCAAAATATAGACATACGCATATGTACATAATATATGCCGGTATAGATATATGCATGTCTACATTACGAGTTCAATGAAAATGTAACCTTCTTATCTCTAATTTAAGATCAAACATATATTTCTTTTAATATTTCTTATCATTTTGTTGATTTGACATTCTCGTATTTCTGTAGTAATTCTAACCTAAAATTATTTCTTCTTTCTTTTATTCACTTATTTTATTTTATTTAGATTTTTATAAAATATATCATATTAACTAGTTTAATTTATGATAATGAATTCATTTATATTTTTTACTAAAAAGAAAAAGAAAAGAAGAAGCAAAAAAAGAGAAAAAGATATATCTAAAAAAAGCGTGTAAATGTATTTATCAATGCCTTGGCAAAGACGTCATTTACTTATAAGTTCTTCAATCATGTACGTACAATGTTTTAATTTTATTTTAACTTCTTTTGTATTGTACGATAGTGCCGCTTTTATATGAATAATTAATAGTATTGTAATAAATGATAAATATATATATATATATTACGCACAATTAGATCTAGATCGTTAAATTTATATTCGCTGTATTTTTAACACAATATAAAACAAAAAAAAGAAGAAAGAGAAAAAAGAATTTTGAGATGATTGTTTTATACAAATATCGAAGGGAAACAAAAAACAAAAAGATACGTTGGAGAATATCTTGATGAAAAAAATTTATTGAACGAAAAATAAATTATCAAGCAGCGGGAAGGGGAAGGGGAAGGGGAAGGGGAAGGGGAAGGGGAAGGGGAAGGAAAAAAAACATTTACTAATTATATATTAATAAAATAATGTTTTATTTAATATCATTCGTTCTATGAATTTTTTTTTATTTTTATAATCTTATCGTGAAATTTCCTATTCGAATAGAACAATATTTCCTCATTTTTGTAACAGTATTCCATAATGTATTTGATAACAGTACATTAAAATTTATAGATTTTGTATTATAATGTCATGAAATTGAATGATAATAAAAGTCATTGAATTTATGGTAATAAAAAATAAAAATATGCGATGTATCGTTCGGTAAAATTACTTTTATAAAGAAACAAAGAAATAAATCAAACAAAAGTTTATTATATTTAAATACATACATACGAATGTATGTCTGATTAAAAAAAAAAAATTTAATATTTATTAAATTAATCTATTAAAAAATATTAAACGAGAGACACAAATTAGAGAAGAGATCAATGTTTCGTGTCATAGATTATTTATTCGATTGAAATCGATTGAAATCGAGTAAGATAAATTACTTTAACTTTCTCTTTAATGTTTTTCTAATCTACAGACACAATAATATATTCTATACGTTTATAAATAGCATAAACTTTCATTGTGGTTGTCGATGAATTGTAGGAATAACAAGAAAACAAATCGTGAAAGTAGAATTATTCTTTTAAGAAATTCATCGAATTAATTTTATGCTCATTCAAACAGGCATAATTTGAATATGTTGTAAAAATTGAGCAATTCAAAACGCACGTACGCTATTCTCAGTGCTAAAAGGATACTTTATTCCAGATAAAACGTAATATTTGATATTATATCATTATGGTCATATATATATATATATATATATGACAAATATCATTTTATAATATAATTTTTTTTTATAATATCGTATGGAACTAATCTAATCAAAATTATAAATCAATTAAATTATAAATTTATTAAAGACACTGATAAATTATAGCGAATATATGCGATAATAACCAAATATAGTTATTATCTTTGCATTAAAAGGGTTAAATTTTGACTCGTATTATCATTATTTCATTATTTTCTTTTTCTTTTTTATTATTAAATTATATATATATATATATATATATATATATATATATATATATATATGTGTGTATAATGATATCTCAAAATGTTTTGCTTAAAATGAACGTTCAATATTTTATTATAAAAATATTAATTTATGTTAAATGTAAATGTTAATTTGAAACAAACGACAATTATTATTGTTCGATATATTTAATACGAGTTTTGTATACGGTCTTTTGACCGTAAGTAAAAGATATTTTGTTATCATTAAGTTCTAAACTTGGTCGTTTTGTATTACTGTTTTTTTTTTATTTGGATTATTTATAAAAATTAACTATGAGCAATTACTGGCTCGTAAATTTATTTGACTAATACTTTAAAAGCTTTCACAGATACATTAACATGAGATTACGGATTATGTAATATGTTAGCTCTGAGAAAAGAAAATCATTGATTAAAATCGAGTATTGATTTCTCGTTATATTTATTCGATTGCGATTATGACTGCGAAATAGTTATAAATCGTAGCAATAAAAATTTTTTGATTCTAAAGATTTACGTATTATTTCTTACATTTAAAGCGTTAAAGTAAAAAAAGAGGAAGTAAAAAAAACGATTCTCTTCCTTCATCCTTATTGATATTTTCGTGACTTATCGATTACGGGATTTCTTTTTTTTAATCATGGAATTAAATATTTTTAATAGATTTAAATAATAAGGAAGCAGGTTGATATTATAAGAGTGAATCTCGAGTGACTTATAGCAAAGAAGTTGTTTACTACAAGAATGTAAAAAAACACGTGCGGATGTATGTACATTATAAACTTTGAACGTTATAAATTATTACTTGGTTATTTTTGGATTATATAATAGCCCATCATTTTCTTTATTTCGTTGCCTTTTTTTTTAAATGTCATCTAATGTGAAAATAATTATTCAGTTTCCACTTTGTAATATACACAACTTTACATAATACTTTAACATTTTTCAATGATATGAAAAAAAAATATTTCATACTATATAATGGCAGATTATATAAGTTATTATTAACATGCAATTTTATTGACGCAGTTGGCTTTCATTATTTTCTTTTTTCTTTTCTTTTTTTTTCTTTTTAGTCTAAAAACATTTTCATCTCAAATTCATTAGAGAATAAAATGCACGAAGTATATTTGAATTTAGCGCCCAAAGGTGGTCTGATGTTTTGTTATTGATTTCTATGAGTTCAACAGTTCTCGGTGGAATCTAACAAGCGACTCGTGGGCGTAAACGACAAAAATCATGGTTATTCTACTCTGCAAAGGTATAAAATACGTTTGAAAATTTTATTTAAATTTTATGATTAATGGCATTTTAATTTTCTAATGAGAGAGATAATTATTTATTTTTTAATTGCGTTTTTTATTTTTCTGGAGCAAACAAGAAAATTATTCATGTCAATATTCATATTCGGCGATGAGATATTTGGGTTCAAAAACAAATAATTTTTATCTATTATAATATTAATTGATCATTGATTATATTGATTAATTGATCATATTGATTAATTTTTGGCCAAGAAAAATTATATAATTTGCTTATCGATACGGGTTAATCATTAGTAAACTTAGATATATTTTTTATCCGATAGATCAATCAATGTGGTTTACAATACCCAGCTATTGTTTAAAATAAATTCTCTTTAAATTAATCATAATTATGTTAATCAATCGATTATTAGATTTTCTTTTTACAAATTAGACGTTCTTTTTACAAATATAAGTTAAATATCGACAAGTGTATGTGTGTATGTATGTATGCCTGTATACATATTTATTTTGATTTTGCATTGGAGATGTTTTTCTTGAGATTAATGATATTCTTTAGATACGATAATTAATGAGAATTTTTTATCATCATTATCATCATCATCATCATCATTTACGTATTAAATATGATTAAAAAAACATTTTTTTTCGATTGTTAGATATTAACAGAGAAAGGTATCGTCAGATGTAAAGTGGGAGAAGAAAAAATTAAAAGTAGTGGGGATAAGAAATTTAAAAGGCGGATTATCTTGTGCACCGCATGTCATTATTACATTTGTTCCGTTCATCGGTGATCACGATTTTTATAAAAACTGAATTATTGTATTGTATGATTCACATATAATACAGCATAAATTAAACAAATAAAACTAATATTCCACCAGTGTACTTTGCCCACACATCGGCTGATACGTTACGATATCAATAGAGAAGAACAAATTTATTCTTATCATTTCATATATACACATCGTCTTTCGTATAATTCTTAATGATCGTGCGCGTTTTCTACACGCTTAAATTATTTTAATAACTACATTTTTATTTGCTCCACTTGAAAAATTAATTGCGAATAATCAGTATATTAAAACATTAAATCGTTACATTATTACAGTAATTTTTGTTACGTTACGTCTTCTTCGTGACATAGATTAAGTCGATAAATCATAACAAGTTGAAAGAAACATATATATATCCCAGGCTATTAAAATATAATTTTATCTAATAGATAATTATCGGATTGATAACTACCCTGTGATTATTGATTTTTTTTTGTATAATTTTTCTTTATTTTATAATTTGTTTTTCTTTTCCTGTTATTCTCAGATAATTGGATAAATACGATTATTGAGAGATTCGTTGCATCACCATTAAACAGTGGAATACAGTGGTATACCAATGATTAAATGCCGACATTCTTTATAAATAAATTTGATTGATTATTACTTATTTTTATTTTTAATTCTATTGCAGAAAATATGACTGCTGTGCAGCCTGTTTCATCGAACAATATTCTCAATGGCTATAGTAAGAATGAAAAGGTAATATTTATTAAAACTTATTCATTTTAGTTTATCTATATGCATCTTTTCATATTATAATTTTATTACATCATTTACAATATTATTTATAATGCATGTAATAACATATTGAATGTATGTAATAACATATTTGTAATATTACGAACGAATTTTTCATTTTTTTTATATCATAGGTACTTAATGGATCTTGTATTCGATATGCGGTAGCTAGTAAAACAGGCCTCGATGGTAAATATATATTATTTGTAAAATTTAATCACAATAAGCCAATTCTTTTTTCTTAATTACAATTAGGCCCGGATCAAGTGTTAACGTCAGATGTAAATGTAACAACAGAAGCTAATGGTCGAATTAGAATACAATTGGGTGAAGATATTAATGCAACATTACCTATTTCTATACCTGGTCTTTTATCAGGAATTGCTAAAAAGTTTCCGGATCAAATAGCTTTGGTATCACGACCAGGATTAGATGGTACAAATACAACATACACTTATAAGTTAGTGTTTTTAAAGATATTACGAATCAAAAGCTTGAATATTTTATATGCATGTTTTTTATGTACTTTATTTATTGTTAAAAAATTATTTATAGGCAATATGAGACTGAAGTAAAAACTGTAGCCAAAGCATTTTTAAAACTAGGTTTGGAAAGATATCATAGCGTCTGTATTCTAGGGTTTAATAGTCCACAATGGTTCATAACTGATATCGCTGCTATATATGCTGGGTAAGAATATAGGAATTTTTGTATAATATTATTGAAATGTCATAACATGCATAATTGTTTCAGAGGATTGGCTGCTGGAATTTACACGACAAATTCTGCAGAAGCGTGTCAATATAATGCACAACACAGTAAAGCAAATATAATAGTAGTTGAAGATTCTAAGCAATTAGAAAAAATATTAACAATTAAAAAAAATTTAGTCCATTTAAAGGCTATTATTCAATATGAAGGAATACCTAAGGAGAAAGGTGTATTAAGTGTAAGGAATATGTAACAATATAATATATATGAAATTATTCCAATTAAGGATTACTATACATTTTTTATAATACATATTATTTTTAGTGGGATGAATTATTAGAAATTGGTAAAAAAGAATCTGATGATAAATTAGAAGCAGTTTTAAAAACCATTGGTGCTAACGAATGTTGTACATTAGTATATACTGTAAGTAAGATGATATATTTAAGATTTGATTAACAAAAACACTATCCAATTTTATTAACGAATATTCGTCCTTTTTAGTCTGGCACAGTTGGTAATCCAAAAGCTGTTATGTTAAGTCATGATAATCTTGTACATGACTCAAGAGTCATTAGGAAATATATTAATTTTTTAGATATAAATGAAATTTGGGTCAGTTACTTACCACTGTCTCATGTTGCAGCACAGGTGAGATATAACTTTTATGTAATTAAATTATAATTACTAAATAAATTGATTAATTTGGATATTGATTTATAGATAGTTGACATATTTCTAACTATGTCTGTAGCAGCTACAGTATATTTCGCAGATAAGAATGCTCTTAAAGGAAGTTTGGTAAACACCTTAGTAACAGCAAAGCCTACTGCTTTCTTAGGTGTACCAAGAGTATGGGAAAAAATTTATGAGAAAATGCAATTAGTAGCACGTAACAATGGACGTGTAAAAACTTGGATAGCAAATTGGGCAAAATCCCAAGGTCTCATTTATAACATGAACAGAATGAATGGTATAGATTACAAACATTGGGGTTACATTATAGCTAAATGGCTTGTCTTCGATAAAGTAAAAACAACTTTAGGTTTAAACAGATGTAAAATATTTGTCACTGCAGCAGCACCTTTAAGCGTAGAAATTAAAAAATACTTTTTGAGTCTAGATATTCCTATAATGGAAGCATTTGGTATGTCCGAATGTAGCGGAGCACATAGTATATCTTTAAAGAATAATTACAGGTAAAAAAAAAAAAAAAAAAAAAAAAAAAAAAAAACACGAATAAATTGGTTTACATGGTCTACATAAGAAATACATTTTTTTTCTATTTAGATTAGGCAGCGTTGGTTCTGTTCTGCCTGGTTTTCGTACGAGATTAGACAATCCTAATGAAACTGGAGAAGGTGAAATTTGTATGTATGGTCGACATATTTTTATGGGATATTTGAATGAACCAGAAAAAACAATAGAAGCCAAAACTGAAGACGGATGGTTGCACAGTGGTGATCTTGGCAGATTAGATTCTAATGGCTTGTTATACATTACCGGTAATTATTATTATTTCTACTTTTTATTATATCTTATGGTATTATTTTAATTATATTTTCACCATTATTGCTCTTGTTTAGGCAGAATAAAAGAACTGATCATTACGGCAGGTGGAGAAAATATATCACCTCTCCACATAGAAGAATTAATCTTGTCCGAATTACCTGTTCTTAGTAATGCTTTGCTGATTGGGGATAAAAGAAAATACCTGACAGTTTTAATTACATTAAAGGTGAATAGTGATTAAGATGTTAAAAAACTTTTGTATATAATAGTTATCTCTATTATTATTATTATTATTATTATTATTATTATTATTATTATTATTATTATTATTATTATTATTATTATTATTATTATTATTATTTTCAAAAACATATTTTGTTTTAGGCTGAAATAAAAGAAGATACTGGTGATCCATTAGATACGTTAACTCCAAGTACACTAGCATGGTTAAAATCTATAGGAAGTAATTCAAAAACGATCAGCGATATCGTGAATTCAAGAGATCCACTTGTAATGTTCACTAATATATTTGAAAAAATTATTATCTTCATAATTTATAATTTATAATATATTTTTATATTAATTGAAGATTATTTGTTTTTAGGTGCATAAGGAAATAGAAGAAGCTATTAAAAGAGCTAATACAAAAGCAATCAGTAATGCACAGAAAGTACAAAAATTTCGGATTTTACCGCATGATTTCTCAATTTTAACGGGAGAATTAGGTCCAACATTAAAACTGAAAAGAAATGTTGTTTGTAATAAGTATGCCAATCTGATTGAAGAGATGTATCAATGAAAAATAATTGAAGGTACATTTACATTCTAATTACGTATAATACATACTTCAGCGTATTAGATATTTTTATTGGGATTAAAAGATTAGACTACATCGATTGGATGATTCAATATATTGAATGAATATCTGCAATATTATGGAATTGATATATATATATATATGTGTATATATTAAAGTACTTATAGAGTTATCTTTCATATACAATGAACAAAAATACGTTTTACTTTCGCAGCAATCTAAAAGTTTAAAGTTTATTTTCCAAAGCAATTATGGAAAGATCTGATATTTTCTTTATTCTGAAAAATGATATTTTTGAGTAGATTTTTAATTATTCATGGAATTTTTATATTTATTGCTAGTAATTATTGAAAAATCTTATAATTCTAGTAGTTTATTGGGAACAATTATATTCACGAAAAAAAAAAAAAAAAAAAAAAGAAAAAAGAAAAGAAGAAATACCTATTACATATACACGAAGGTATTTTTTAACGTAAATTAATATCAAATTTTTTTATTATCAAATTATTTCATTTATGATTATGTGAAATAAGGATAAAATAATGGTCCTATTAAAAGTGCCTTTTCTCGCCACTAATGAATTCACACAATATTTGCATACATTTGTAAGGTTTTTTGTCTAAACTAGTGAAACTGTATTGATACTATAAAAAGTGTTATTTTATAACGTATATATTATAGATAAAATATGAAAATGAATACAATCTCGTGATATTTGATATGATCAAAAATAAATCGTATACCAAAAAACAATGGGAACTGATATGTGATGTAAAATATAAAAAATTATTTGCATATAATGGATACAAATCAAAATATATTGATGTCTTATATTTCAGCGATAATATTAATTATTAATATAGCTAAATGTTTTCTTCAATAATTTCTTTATAATGAAAGAAGTTGTGGATATATATGTGTATGTGTATATATATATATATACATATATACATATATATATTATATATATATATATTTATATGGTAATAAAGTGATTTCTTTATAAATACGTTTTATTATTCTTAATATGTTGTTTCCCAAGGAAATAAATATTTAGTCCTTAATATAATTATATTTTCACAGCCTGCTTATTAAAATAGAATCATTTATAATCTTAAATCTTTAATGAGATTACAATGATATTTTTTAATATGGGTAGTAAAAAACACAACTCGTTATTTTAATTGCAATATATTACTAATATAGTTTACAATAATCAAAGCAGAGTAGCTTCATTTAAGATCATCGTATTTTGCACACAGATTTTTAGGACAACCTGAATTCTTATAAGAAAATACTCTTACTGAGTGCATCACAGCAACTTTAAAAATGCAGATCTGTATTATTTATATAATCTTTTACCCTGAATCTCTATTGCGTATAGAGCATTGAATTTATTTCATTCGCTATTAATCGTTCGTACATTACTACCTTTAATATGCATGTATCTTCGCAGTTCTTCATCTGTATTCTCTTATTTTATAAAATATAATATGGAAATTAAAAATTATAATTTAATTTTTTACTGATATAACTCAAAAAAATATTTTCAATAATAAAATAAACAATTTACTGTAATTTAAATTTGTTGTTAAATAATAAACATAAAAATCATAATTTTTAAAACATATAGACTTTTGATTGGATCAAATATTTTCTAACCATATAATTATAAGCCCGATAAAATTATTGCATGTATGGATCTTATACTACTTATTGTATTAAAACATTAAAAAAAATTTTTTAGACATTTTTAGAATAATTTTTCGCAATAATTATGATAAATGGTTAAACTATTGAATAATACAATAATGTGTTACTAAGAAAATTGAATATAAAGAATAAGAGTTCTCTCTAAAGAAGTATGGCTATACTTAATTAATTTATGTTTCAAATTTGTATACTCGTACCACATTTGGACAATGGCTTGTTTAACAACTATTACTATTAAATATAGCGAATGTGTGGATAGTTTTAAGATGTTGATGATGTATTAAATTTTTGTTGAATAATAGAAGTTTTACGCTGTGGCACAGATTCTGGTGTAGGAATAGCATCACCTGTTGGTAAAATGCCAGCAGGTTTTGGCTTAGCTGCCGATTTTTGTTTTGCCATTTGATAATCTCCAGAATCAAAATATTTTTGCTGCAATTATGAATATTGTATTTGTATTTATATTTTCATTTTTACTTGTACCGATATTAACAGATATAAAAAAAAATTTACTACAATCTGAATCAAATAAAAACATCTTTATGTAATATTTATTATTGATATAACATTACACATTATATTATACAATATTCTATATTTACTTACACCTTTGGCTAATCTTTTTTGTAAAAATGCCGAATGACCACTAATCGGACGTCCAATCGCATTTGGAAATTTAGCTTTTAGTTTAGCTTCCTCTAATTTTTCAATATCATTTGATGATAACTAAAACAACGCAATATTCCAGACATTTCTATAAAATATTTCTAAAAGCTAAATAAAGTTATGTGGTTAATAAGAGTTAGATTTATATATATATATATATATATATAAATCTAACTCGAATACTGACATCGTTAAAAAAAATGTAGTTTTCCATTTTATATTGCGAGTTTGTTATAGTAAATATATATTAGCCAAATATAAAAAAATGTAATAACACTAAAGATAAGAGACGATTACTATAAGATGGCGGTAAAATTAACCGGTGATTTTCAATGTGTTAAATAATTCTTACCTCGGCAGTTGGTTCGTTTGTCTGATCGTCGCTCATTGTTGGCGACTTTATTATACTCCACGATAAATTTAATATTTTCAAGATACACTAGTCACTTTTTATGCTCTAGCTATTAAGAACATATGAAAAACAAAACTGTTGTGGTTGTAAACAATGACAGCGTGATCTTTTATTTAAAATCCTATAAAAAATTATTGATATATATAATTATTCACTTTACTGATAGGTTTTCTATCCGAAAACAATTAACTGTCAACGAGAAGTGCTTGAAAAACAATAATTCCGTCACATGAAGAGTCATATGTCTGACCGTTACCAAAAATCAATCTTAAGGATACTATTCATAATATACGTAATATATAACATTAAAGCGTTTCGATTTGTGTGTGATTGGTTAATTCCGGTTATAGACGCTATTCTTAAAAATCCGCCATGTTGGAATAGATATACAGAGTGGGCTTAAAGTTTTTAGATAGGTCAAAAGTTCCTATGCGATTTTACAAATCAAATGTTCTTTTTTTTCTTATTGATTTGATTCTTAGATCTGTTCGTTTCTACGAACATAAGAATTTCTTTATAATTTGAAAACAAAATTAGCTTAAAGAATTATTAAAAAAATAATTGATCTATAAACCATGTTAAAACTTTTAGTTCAGCTAGGAACCTTTAGCCTATTCTATAGATTTATTAATATCCAATCAGAATTGCTTAACGTAGATCAATATTTTTTTTTCTACTTGAATCGTATTATTCAATAACATTCTTCCTTGGAGATCAATAAAAAAAACTGTTGTATTATATTTGTTACAAAACATTTATAATTAACGTATTTTCAATAATTGTATATAATTCATTTGTATTATCTTCAAAATCAATTTGTATGAAAACTTTGTGATATTTTAGGTTTTGTATTGAATTATATAAAAAAAAATATATATAATTTGACGATTCTTTAAAAACGACATGGATTTTAAAAAGGTAAAATTAATCCTGAAATTATTTTCCAAATTTTTTTTTTATTTTTTAAATGAAATTCGTGTACTGTTTTACATTTAAAATTTTATGACAGGTACCATCAGTTAAGAATGATTATATTAATGTGAAAACAGAATATGATAGATTGCGTACAGAGAATAATGTACTGGATGCATTGCGAAAAGGATTAGAAGAATGTAAGAAAGAAAATGTATCATGCGAAAAAGATCTAATGGAATTCTATAAATTACGATTAGATTCACAAATTACAAATAAAAAATTGATTGAGGAATTAGATAAAGTTTCTTTGATCATGAAATCAGAAGAGTTGTCTTCTTTTGACGAAACAACATTGAATATTGCTAAACGAAGAAAAAATATAGCTGATATGGAATACAATCTTTCTTTAAGAGAAATAAATATGGAATTAAATCTTGTAAATATGAAACTCGAATCTCTTAAAAACAAAGTTCATCAAATGCAAAAATCAATAAATTCAGCTAATGCCTTTGTACACAAAGCAGAGAAAGATATAGATGATTCCTGTTCTCAAGATGTCATGAGAATGAAATTACAAGAATATTGTCAGGCCTTCGACAAGTTAGAAAGCGAATTAGAGAGTTTAAAAGTCACAGATTTACAATCACATTTGATATCAGAAAAATATAAACAATATCTAGAGATGCTAGAAGAAAAGGTCAAAGTAGATAAATTTTTAGATAAATATCATGATCTACCACCAAATATATTGCAAGCTAAAGTAATTCTTGAAAAGAAACAAAGAGACTATGATCAACTTGAGAATACATTTTTACTATATAATAAAAAATTTTAACAATATATATCATATGTGTGATTTATAATATTATGTATATATATATATCTATTTTGTCGTAAAGTAATAAATATATAATTTGGAATCATCTAATATTTTTATATTGATAGTTTTAGATTTAATCAATAAAAATATATAAAAATAAATAACAAAATACGTGTGCATTCTAATTTATATTTATACCTTTAAGAGAATTTTTGAAATTAATTAGTAGATGGCGCTTCGATCACTACGGATTTTGATCATAAGTGTTCACATATAATATACCTGTTCATAGTTGAGTTTCACTGAACTACGTGAATTACAGTTTACAACCTCGTATTTATTAAATTGTTTAATATCTTGCCTTTGTATATGCTAATTTTTAATTTAAACAATGAGTCTTATAGCGTACGGTAGTAGCGACGATAATTCTGAAGATGAAGAAGTTAATTCCGGTGAATGTAGTGATGATAAAAATAAAATCACGATTCTAACCAAATCTTTGAAGAAGGATTTATGTGTACCTTCTCCAAAAAATAACACAGATGTAAAACTAATTGTAAATAATGAATCATTATCAAAATTTAATTGGAGTATATTGCCAAAACCAATAAATGTGAACACAGAGAAAATGGATTTGAAGGAGGAGGGTGATATTCCAATGAAGAAGGAATTAGAACAAGAGAAAAGACCAACTAAAAAGCCAGTTAAAATAATGATTCGATCCTTATGTGAAGTATGTACAATGATTCAATAGTTATAAATATAATATTGTTTGTGAAATTGTATGTAAAAATATAAACAATATCAATTATTCATTTCCATTCATTTAACACTTGTTGATTTCAGTTCAAAGATTTAGATGAAGAGGATAAGAAAAAACAAAATAGGATTGCACCAATAGAAGTAAGACAATTAAAATTTTTTTAGAATATTATTTATAATATTATTTATTTTTTAAATATCTTTCTTTTGACATTTACAGAAAGGATCAGGACTTTTCTCTATTTTACCACCTCCTAAGATACTGGAACAAAAAAGTATCAAACCTTTAATACCAAATGTTGTTGTTAAGTCACAAAATGTATCGACTACAAAAAATATTATATTACCAAGCGACAAGTTGAAAGAATCAAATTACGAATCAAATTCTGAAGATGAAGAAGAAAGCGATGCAAATAAAAATAATTATCACGGATCAGGGATGGATTTCTTTGCTTTGAATACAGTAAAATCTATCACAGATACAGATTCTATGACGTTGGATTTAAAGAATACAGAAAGTAATGATTTTGTATCGACGTCAACATTTTTGAATGAATCTAAAGCAAAAGATAATACAAATGGAAATAATATTGTACATGACAATAATACGGAACAGTATATTCAAAATTCGAATTTGACATTAATAAGTAATGTTATAAATTTACCGAAAGAAGAAATATTAATAAAAAATAAAGCAGAGATTGGACCAAAATTACCCATTCCTGAACAAGAATATAACGTAGATGCCGATGGTAACGTAGCATTTGATGAAAAAGCTATAGAATATTTGTGCGGTAAGAGAGGTATAAAGAGAAAATGTAAGGAAATGGAAAAAGCAAACATAATTGAAATAAGTGGCGATGATATTAAACCCGATGAAAGGGAATGGTTAGTGAAGGCATTAACGGAAGAACCTGTACAGAGGCCTGTGTCTATGCAAAGTAGTGGAATTAATTTTCAATCCAAAAAGAAGCATCAAATTACATACTTAGCGCACCAAGCTAAAGCTATGGAACTTGAATTGAAGAATCAATGGTCTCTTAACAGAATGACAAGGAAACAAACACAATCGAAGTATGGTTTTTAAAAACAGGTGAAAATATCAAATTATTTATCACAAATGCGAATCTATTTCTGATAAAATCATCCTTCGTAAAAAGGTTATTATAATATATAATGATAAAAAATAATATTATAATGTTATAACAGGTAGTGATATTTTTCTAGACTAGTATTTAATTGTAGAATTCGATCGAAACAATTTTCAATGGATGTGATATATTTTTTTCTTCAAAATAATTAATGATGTTAATTTTACAGAATTCGTTCTATGAAACTATATTTGTAATATAGTTACATAATGTTACATCCATTGAGCCGATGTTTATGAAAATGGTTCAAGTCTGAGATATTAAATAACATATTTTGTCACACATAAACACAAACACACACACGTGCGCGCGTTATTTTTAATATTTTAAAATTATATAAAAGAATTATATTTCTTAAGAATAATTATACTTACTTTCTTTATTTGTCGGTATAGATAAATAAATAATTTTTAAATAATTCAAATCCAAATGTCAAAATATCTCAAAATGAAAAATATATTATTTTGATATATTTGATGAATTAATTCATACTTATCGGCTCAATTATTATTAAAGATTATGTAATAGTAATTGTTTTATATTTAATACATCAGATACCATCAGACTATAATTATTTTTTGCTAGTCGTTGTCGAGTAAGATCTCCGTTTTTGATCGATATCACGTAAAATCTCGCGAATCGATTTGGAATCATTCTTATACTTAAGTTCTAAATAAAATACGAGAGTCGATATCGATAATCCAAGTAAAAGCAAAAAAAAAGCAGCTCCTAAAGGTATTAAAGTGAGTACTCTCAATCTTCCATCCTTTCCATCGTATTCTACGAGAACTTCCCGAAGATTAAAACCAGCACGTCGTCGTAAAACATCCTGCAAATGAAAAGTAATGATCCCGGATTCCCTTAATCGTAACATCATCTGAAACACGATAAATTCATTTTCAGAATTGAAATAATGTATTGTAATTTCGAAATTATATAAATAAATAATTTTGTTCGAAGTACCCCATTTATTGGTGAGATGAGCCAAGGTTGAGCAACAAAAGATGCATAAAATTTTCCAATCATTTCTTTCATCATCCGATAATTCTTTTTAAACCAAAAAAATAAAAAAGACCCAATTTATAGATTGCCTCATTAAAGATCATTGAGTTTCGTTAAACGTTAATGCCTTACTTTAAGATCCATATTATAAATTTCATCATCGGGGAAGAAAACGGACCCAACGAAATTTCCAATTATAGCGAGATTGCCTTTAACAATATTTTCATGGATTTCCTCAGTTTTAATAAATTTATATGTATTCGGCAACTGAGATGAATAAGGATCCTAAACAAAATATTCACCCTTCTGTTTCATAAAGTTAATTATAATTTTTTGTGTCTTTAGATTTTTTAAGAATTAAAGTAATACGCGCGCATGTGTGTATGTGTGTGTACTTATATACGTATATATCCATTTTCTTAACGTACTTCGTAGTCGATGAAATCTGTGAAAGATGGGATAATTTTTCTTCCCCAGATTAATTTAGCTTCGAGAAATTGTTTTATCGTGTCGATCCTACAAAAACAAATTTCACATAATATTACCAATTTGAAATAATTTAATAATTAATTATTTTTAATATAATTCATACCTATTTTCATACTCGGAGTTAGTTAATTTAGCTGCGAGACTACTGCTATAAGCAGTGACGAGTATCAATCCCATTGTTTGCCAAAGATATAATTGTAGTTTGACGCTAATCATATTTTTTGGTGCCCAAGAACCCAATAAACGACCGGTCAATTCGATGAAAGTTATTAAAAAATTTCGAAAGCCTTTTTCAAAGATAATTGATTAAAGATATTGATAAGCGAATAGAGAGACATATTAAAAAGGAACTTTAACGATAAATCACTTACGTTCCGGATATCGTGGATTGAATTGAGCGTGAGTAAATATGCAAATGCTTTGTAAGAATATTGCTAGGACAAGAAGGATCCATGTAGTTACCGAGAAAGGTCTAGTTAAAGCCCAGAAACTGGTTATTGGTTTTGGACGTGGTACCAAAAAATGTATATGTACTTGATACCAAGGATCCGTTAAATGGACGAAATCATAATTATTCCTGTTTAACCATATACCAGCAAACGCAATATCGATCTAAGAGAATGAAAAATATTAAAAGAAAATATCTCCCATCTTTACCGCCTCCTTTTTTTTTTTTTTTTTTTTTTTTTTTTACAATTTTACAGCGTTTCAGTTCGTTAATATACCTTATTGTCATACAAGAGTTTTACGAATCCACCTTTCCATACAGTCTCGTTGTATCTCTTTCCGTATCTGTTTTTAAAAGAATGATTATGAAAAAAAAAAAAAGAAGAAAATTAACGTTTCTAATTAAACGAAATAGATTATTCGAATTGTCCAATACCCATCTTTTGATTTTTTAATGATCCAAGTGAAATTCAATTTTTCTGCCATCAGTAAGAATAGCTTCATCTCGATACCATCCCTCTCGAGTTCTATAAAATTTCAATGAATTAATTTTTAAGTGAATTAAAAGATATGAAAGATATCTGTTTTATTATACCGTTGTCAGCGTCAAATATTTCTTCTTCGACGTCATCAATAATTTTTACGGTTGTACGATTTAAATAAGACACGGGTGGCCGATAAAATGTTGACGCTCTTAATTGTCTCCCATAAAAGTTCACCTTTACATCATCGCGTTTCAGTTTTTCGTAGCTACAGAAATTCAAATTTTATTGCTATGCTTATTATTAACACATTGGCGAACCCGTTAAATAAGCCTTGCTAAACTTTAACTCAATTGTTTCTTTCTATTCAAAAAACAAAATAAAAATATCTTCAGGAACAAGGTTGATATTATTCGAAAACAAAACAAAAAAAATAAAATAATATAGCTATTTGGATAAGAATCAAAAGATGTGCCTGTAATTATGAAAGTGGTTCCATGTCATTTGAGATATTAAAAGATATCACAGGATATTTCTATTCTTAAAATCTTTTCAATTACAGAAAAATAAAAGAATTTATTTTTTTCAAAGATAAATATACTTATTTTTTTTTTTTTGCGTTTGTTTCCTTATAAAAAAATTATTCAAGTTTATATGTCAAAGTATCTTGAAAAGAAAAAATATATGATTAGATTTATTGTTAGATCATTTTCATAATCACTTGTTCGAATAATACACGAGAAACACGTTTTACTGGTCGCCAATGTGTTAATTGTTTATTATAATTAAATAAACAAATATTTATATATATATATATCTATATATATTTACTTGTCGACCCTATGAAAAATTCTTGGCAATAAATAATTTTCCGACAAACTCCATATTCCTGATTTGCTTATTACGTTAGCAATGGCATTTCCATAAATCTTCACGTTAAAAACACTCGAATTAATTTTCAAATAATCGTTCACAATAATGAGAATTTCTGTGCTGGATATAAAACTTGGAATTCTAAAAATAAAGAAAAAAAAAAAAAAAAAAAAAAAGAATTACGAAAAAATAGAAGGAATGTAAATGTTAATATTTTGAATCGATTGAAAAAAGAGATATATATATATATATGTATATATATATTCTGGTTACTTCTTCAAATCATTCAAAATTTCTTCCTCCGTCGAGCCCAACAAAAAATATCCTTTACAATCATAAATATTTGCGTTCAATGAATATTCGTAAGGATAATTATCAATGAATTTTTTAAACAGGTGCGATATCTCCAGAGTGGTATCTGTGAAAAGTAAAAAAGAAAAAAAAAAAGAAAGAAGAAGAAGAAGACAATTAAAATGTGAGCGAAGAGAAGAAAAAAATAAGAAAAGAAATTTTTATCAAATCATAAAAAAAAGTAATAAAAATGTTTTTTATGACATAACCGACCATGTAAATAAATATTACAACATAAGGAATTCTTGAAAGTGGCATTTAATGCCAAATTAAAATCCGTCTTCGTTATCCATGACGTTTCAATAAATTTATATATAATGTCACTGGTTCTTGACACTCGAAGATCCTTCAATATAATATAAAGAAACAAATATATTCTCATGATTGTACATAATTTGAAGGAACGATTGGTTAAAGATTAAAAACGTTTTGTCATTGAAGAACTTTAATGAAAATGCTTTTTTAAAGTTAGGTGATAGATCCACAAACCGCCATAGATAGACCTATTATCATCACCACACCACCATCACCATCAGCACACGAGTGTACTCGATGAGAATCGACCATCGACTGTTCTTATATACTCGATATACAAATGTATATACGTACATATATGTTTATATACGTAGATGAGTGTAAAGAAAAAGAAAGAAGGAAAAACAGAAAGGAAGGAAAAAAGACATAAAAAAAAAAGAGAGAGAGAGAGAGATCATAATTAGGGCATTGTAATATGTTCGTATACGGAAAGTATTTATTGGTACATTGTTTCCATTTATTATACGCATGATATAATATTTTGAATCTTCTTTTTTTTTCTTTTTTTACAATAGATAAATAACAATTTTAACAGAAAAAAAACCACGAAATAAACACGAATAGAAGTAAACCATCTGAATATCCTTTAATACATGTACTATTAGTCGTGTATATATGGCGTGTAATTACTCTTCACGATATCCTATCTTTCGAACTTAATTGGTGTCATTTAAAAAATTCATCGCTTGGGACGACCGTCGAAACTGTCAGAAGTTTGTTTGTGTTGAAGCGGTAAAATTCGCTGAACGACTTTTCTCTTGCGCAAATATTTTTCCATCTATTTCTAATAATAATTTTTCCCTTCGCAATTTTTATATGGTAGTAATGGTGGTGGTGGTGGTGGTGGTGATGATATTAAGGGATGGGAAAATTAAAATGTAAGGATGAAGAGCGTCAGGTCGATAAAAAGTACATGATGTGATCTATTTCCTGTCTAAAGAGGTGATTTATGATAAAATAAGCTTTTAAATGACATAGTATGCGCTTTCCACAATTCTCTCTCTCTTTCTCTCTTTCTCTCTTTCTCTTTCTCTCTCTCTTTCTCTCTTTCTCTCTTTCTCTTTCTCTCTCTCTTCCTCTCTCTCTTTCTCTCCCTCTAGAGAATTGTTCTCTGCAATTAAAAAAAAAACTATTAGAATATCGATCTAGAAACTAGACACTAGACACTAGACACTAGACACTAGACATTAGATACTAGACACTATTATGAGACAATAAATGTGAAAGAAGAGTAATAATTTGATTAAATATTCATTCGATTCTAACGTGTGATTTGAAAAATACTTTTCAAGAGAATTAGTTTTTTCCTGTTTTTTTTTTCCTTTCTCTTTTTTCTTTCTGAATATTTAAATATATACAATTATAGTCTTCTTCTTTTTTTTTTTACTTATTCTTATAATTCTAATTATTCCGATACCTCTAATAATAAATATAATAATTACTATAGTAATTAGTAAATAGATAATAATAAATATATTAATATATATTTTTTTTTTACATATTTTATATATATATATTAAATGTTTTTACAGTTCATTTATATACATATATGCAAAAACATAAAATTATTCCATGATTCAACTTATATCTTATCGGTAATATTACACAACTTATTTTTAATTTTACGTTTCTTTAATATACGATAGTGTCATTAAAGCGTTAACGGATTCATAATCGAAACGTAAATAACGTTTATATTTACCAAGCTAAGGAATATATTCGACTTTTGATCAAAATCGTGTTTAATATCGAACCATTCTATGTCACAAGCATACAATTTATACAGTAAGAATATTTTATAAAGTTCAACCATTAATTACCATCTTGTAATACAAGTCATTACGAGTGTTATCGGGACCGAATGTCAAAGTTTTACTGCTGTTGACGACGATAAGACAGTGATAAAATTGAAAATAAAAAAAAATAAAAAACAAAGAAAAATGTATTTCCTTGTATTCATCTCAAAATCCTCGATCTGGATAAATATGAAAGGTGTACGTCAACTTTCAAAGAAAATTGGATTCGTTGGTTTAGGTAAGATGGGTGGTCACATGGCAAAAAATATTTTGAAAAAGGTAAGAATTATTAAGATTATATTATGAATATAACGATCTGATCGAAGTACTTTTAGGGTTACAAATTAAAAGTATTCGATGTTGATAAATCAGCCATGTCTAATTTGGTCGAAGTCGGTGCGAATGCTGCTTCGACCATTACAGAAACGGTGAAGGACGTTGACGTAATCATTTCTATGTTACCTTCGAATCAACATGTTCTGGATTGCTATATCGGTGATAATGGTATATTGAGGTATCAACATATTGAAGATGACATATTTTTCTCTTTATATATATATATATATAGATATATATAGATATATATAGATATAAATATATATATAGATTAATGATCTATATCATTTATAGTTCAGTGAGAAAAAATGTACTCTTGATAGATAGCAGTACGATAGATCCGTTCGTGTCGCAGGAATTATCGAAAGAGACTGAAAAAAGAGAAGTTAAATTTATTGATGCTCCGGTATCAGGAGGTATAATTTATATTTCCATACAATTGTATGAATATATTGTACGTACAATACGATGTTTATATATATATTTTTTAGGTACAAATGCAGCGAGAGATGGTACATTGACTTTTATGGTAGGTGGCTCTAATGCAAATTTCGAAGCTGCCAAATCTATATTAGAAATTATGGGCTCGAGAATAGTTCATTGCGGTGACGTTGGTATGGGACAGGCAGCAAAATTGTGTAATAATATGCTACTGGCCATTAGTATGATTGGTACTGCCGAAATTTTCAATCTTGGTCAAAGGTAAAGTGTAAAAAAGCAAAATTGTGTCATAAGTTTTCTCGTTCTTATGTACTACATATTATTTGACTGATTGATTCTTTTACTTCTTTTTCATTTGGTAGATTGGGCCTGAAAGAAAATGTACTGAATGAAATAGTGAATTCCAGTTCAGGAAGATGTTGGTCTTCTGAATTATACAATCCTGTTCCAGGTCTTCTACCTAATGTTCCTAGTTCAAAAAATTATGAAGTAAATGAACAAATATATATATATATATATATAATATATATATATATATATATATATATATATATATATATAATATTTAACAAGTGAAAAGAAATTCTATATTATTGGATTGATAACTATACTTGATATTTTATTTTAGGGCGGTTTTAGTACATTGCTCATGGCAAAAGATTTAAGTTTGGCACAATCTGTCGCAACTAGAACAAACACATTAATTCCTTTGGGGTCTTTGGCTCATCAAATTTATAGGATGCTTAATAGTCATGGTTTATCGCAAAAAGATTTTAGCATCGTATATCAATTTATAAAAGGTAAACATTAAAGTTAATATATTTTGCATTTATGTTATTTATTTTCTTTTGCCATTAGTATTTTATTGCAATAAAATAATATTATATGAATTATTTTGATAATTACAAAATATCAACAAAACAGATAATTGAAGTAAAGAACGTTTGAATTTCCCGCCAATACTTTTCCACTGTATTTTCGTACCAAGAAACTTCAGATGCTTGTCTATCGAAAAAAATCATAGGTTAGAAATAAATTTAAAAGAAAATAGTTCTTACCGTCCAGTACTTTTTGCTATCTCATTAAATCTATTACGAATTCTTCCATTATTTATCTCCTTCTTTAAAAGTATATACCTAATTAATATCATTATTCTACGTTGATAATCAATCGGATGTTTCAGGAAACAAAATTTAAAACAAAAATGCCGGCTTTAAGAGAAGAACAATTATGATGTCGACTAACGTAGTAGAACATTATCGCCATCTACATATTAAACGATCTCGAATAATACGAATAAATGAAAGAAAAATTAACGATAAGTTAAATCTTATTTATTTTAACGATGCAAAGAATTACGAGTATGTTAATATTATTTTCGTACTGAAAATAAATACATAGAGATTTCTGCATTACCGACCGATGCGTACTATACAATTCCTTCGAAACTGATTCTTTCTCTCTCTCTCTCTTTCTCTCTCTCTTTATCTTTTTCTCTTACTTTTTCTTCCTATTTGAAAAAGAAAAAAAAAGAAGAAGATAACGACTGCAGCGACATCCGGCTTATTAAAGAACCAGGTCTCTATCATCGGACGGTCGTTGTTGAATTGACCAACGTGGTACCTCCACCATTTCTGTCACTCGTTGAGAGTTTTTGCTCGCGGCAGGAGCACAGAGGAGAGAAGTTCGAGGATATACGAATAATAAAATTAGAGACAATCGAGTAATCGAGAGGGCGCAGTGCGGTTCAATGCTGCCTGGTGTCGGCGTGGCTCCTGCATTTTCCGCCGTCCGAACGTCGTTGCCCGTGTAATAGTATATTTCAATCGTTACGTCTCGTCGTCGTGCTTATCAACGAGGGAAGGAAGAACGTCATTATTATTATTATTAATATTATTATTATTATTTAATATTATTATTATTATTATTATTATTATTATTATTATTATTATTAGTTCAAATTCTTTTCACGGATTGAAGAAAATTCGAGTGGGGCCTTACGTGAAACACGGTCGGTGCGCGAAAAAGTAAAAAAAAAAAAAAAAAAAAAGAAAAGAAAGAAAGAGAAAAGAAAAGAAAAGAAAAGAAAAAAGAAAAACGTGCGACGAGTGAAACCTACGAATGCATCTTTGACGCTAAGTCATCGATAAATCCGAGTGCTTGTTGTGCCTTTTCTGTGCCTTCTTGGCACGTGTCCCCCCCTTCTCTCATTCTCTTCTCTCCTCCTACGTCTCTGTCCTTTTCTATCTCTCTCTCGCTCTCTCTCTCTCTCTCTCTCTCTCTCTCTCTCCCTCTCTCTCTCTCTCTCTATCTCCTTTTCTCCTCGTCAATTCGACTGAGATAAAACGTCGAACGAGGAGACATCTAATTATTTATAATTCCTTTCTCTCTCTCTCTCTCTCTCTCTTTCTCTTTTTACTTATCAATTTTTCCCTACATTAGTTCGATCGAACTATATCCCTTTTTCTGTTTGTTTTTTTTTCCGCGTTCGTTCGTTCCTTCGTTCGTTCGTTCGTTCGTTCGGTCGTTCGTTCCTTCGTTTGTTTGTTTGTTTGTTAATTTTTTTTTTTATTAAATCATAATCTTCTCAATTTCCACTGGACGAAAAAGACAGGAAGGAAAGAAGATGAGCAAGACGTGCGCTCGTTGTGAGAAAACGGTTTATCCGATCGAGGAGCTCAAGTGTCTCGATAAGGTACGTCAAGATATATATATATATATATATATATATATATATACACACACATTTCTTTTTATTTCTCTTTTCTTTTCTTTTCTTTTTCTTTCTTTCTTTCTTTCTTTTCTTCATTCTGATTCGCGTTCCCTTACTTCATTTTGATGAAATGGAAAATAGCGGTTCCTACCTACCTTCCTTTCTTTTCCTTTCCTTTCGTTCTTTCGTTCTTTCTTCCTTTCTTTCTTTCTTTCTTCGTCTCTCGCCTTTCTCTCTACCTTCTTTCCTCTCCTTTCTCTCGGCCTCACTCGGTCTCACTCCCTCTCACTTTATTGCTCTCGGTTTCGTGAGTCTCTTCGAGAGCGCGCGCGGCGACTTGAGAATTCATTTCGCGACGTATCGCAAGGACGTGCGTTGTTCTCAATTTTCTCTCTTTCTTTCTCTCTCTCTCTCTTTTTCTCTCTCTGTCTCTCTTTCTCTCTCTCTTTCTCTTTTTGAAATGAGATGTTTAGTGATCTGAGAGAGAGAGAGAGAGAGAGAGAAAAATGAAGAAGGTTTGATGAATGGATAATTAAATGGTTGGGAGGGAGAGAGGGAGGGAGAGATAATAGAAGAGGATTAGATATTGGAATATCTAAAAAATATAATTTTCCAAGTTTTACATTATAAAAAAGAAAACTCGCGTATCACGAAGTAACTTTCTTCGTCATTTATATCTACATATATACTATATATATCTATATATATATATTTTATGTAAGATACATATGTTCATACGTGTTTCTATCATTAACGAGTACCGTGCGTTTAATTTATCATGAAAAGTTTATAATGCGTATTACTTATTTCTAATTTTTAAATGTTATCTTTTAATTGTAATTATTCATTAAAATGAAAAATGTTAATATTTTTATGACTATATATACGATTATTTTTTTAGAGGTTAGATTTACGTTTCTTTTAACGAAATGCATTCGATTCTTTTTTTTAATGATGCCGTCAGCGCGCCAACAAAATCAAATTTCAACGTTTTAATTTGATTTGCAAACACGTATACATATACACACGCATACACGTCAAATCATTTAATTCGGTAATATTTACGATTGAAATGATTCGAAATTAATAATACAATGTATATGATCAAAATTAATCCTATATGATAAAAAAGAAATATATATATATATTATATAAGTTTTCAACGAACTATTAAATCTTTGTTTTCTTCGATATTCTTATATGTGTTTACGATAGTCTTACGTAATATAATCCATTTCGTTCAGATTTCTTTTTTCTTTTTCTTTTTGTTATTTTTTTTTTTTTTTCATCATCGTTCCTCTCTTCTTTACTGAAAGATAACGTAGAGAGATAAGTAAAGTCAAGAGTCAAATAAATTGCTGCTACGTTGATAATTTCCTTTTTTTTTTGTTTTTTCTTTCTCTTTAGTTTTCTTTTAATTAACAAAAAATTGTTTTCCATTTGTCTCTTATTTTTATTTTATTTTATTTTTATTTTATTTATTTATTTATTTATTTTCTTTCTTTTTTTTAATGTGTTGTCCAAGAAAATCTTTCGTGTGCGACGAATCGTGAATCGTTGTTTGATCCTTGCAGAATCATTGAGTTTCGATTACCATTGAAATTCGATCGTATGTTGACGTAAATCGTACGTCTTTCACCGGATGTCTTCGACACCGTATTGCCAGTGAATGGCATTAGAACTAACCGGAATTTTTCTCTTTTTTCTTTTTTTCTTTTCCTTCCTTTTCTTTTCTTCTCCTCTTTCTTGACAAGATAATTATTGATCAGCAACTATTTCTTATCGTTAATTATAATTATATACATATAATATATTGTATATATTATATTATATTATTTATATAAATATATATATATATATGAATTATATAAAATTATTATATAAATATATAATATAACAGAAAAAAATATATATATATAAAGTAATAGTTAAATTATATATTACAGTATATTTAATGTTAATATGCATTATTGTTATAATATTATAATAATACGTGTGTAACATTAATCGAAAAGACTAATGATTGAAAATTGCGCGGGAAATTTAAATTCTATATAAATATATTCCACCAGAAATCATTAAAGTTAAAATTATACGATAATTGTAATATTTATAGAAAATTGATTTTTTAAATTTTCATATCGTTTATATCTTAGGTTCTTATTTGCTGACAATTTAACCTATTGAATTCAAGAAGTTCTAATGAAAAATAATCCTTTTTAAAAATAGAACAACGAAAGAAACGGAGTAAAAACAATAACATTCGAATTAAAAATAAATTTTTGATGTTTATATATATATATATATGCGTGATATGTGTGTGTATGTATTCAGAGTACAAAAGTGTATCGTTCGAAAACATTCTAATTTTATTCTTACCCGTCAATTGATTTATCAATTTGAAAGTGCGCAACCCGCATATAGAGGAAAGAAACGGTATTCTAATTAATTTACGTCCTTCCATTAATAGTTGAAACTATTACTCGTTTAATCATCCATCTTTCTTTTTCTCTCTCTCTTTCTCTCTTTCTTTCTATTTATCTATCTATATGTCTTACTTTATTTTCAAAGACCTCAAAATTACCGTTGTGTCCGTTCAACGGACTATGCGAGTCATTCTGCGATATAGAAAGTTGGTCCGTTCTATTATATCTCATAAATCCCACGAAAAACTAATTTCTTTCCACTTCTTTGAGAAAAATATCAAAGAAATAATACATTTTTATCTTTTAATTAATAATAATTATAAATAAAACCTATTGAGATAAGTACGATAAGATATATTGAACGATGCTATTTTTAAAAAGGAACATTCACGCATGCGTGTAGCATCAATGACGACGAAGGCGCCATCTACTTCGAATTCTCCCGCGAAAATAAATGAAAATACGTGAGCCATATATATTTTTGGAATCAAAATGACAGAATTATCGCGGATTAAAGAATACGGGGGTTGGGGTGTAGATTAAAAATTCTAATTCGTTTTTATTCTCGAATAAATTTTAAGTAAAAACGCGCGATGATTGATAAGAGAGGATGTTATTTTTGAAAAGGGTTGAGAAATACGCGCGTTCAGGATGCAACGACATCTACTTCGTGTACGCACGTAAAAATATATAAATAAGAATACGTTAATCATTTATCTGGAATATGAACGACATTTATTTCGCGTGCGAATACTGTCAAAGATTGTTTTGAAAAATGTTTTTATATAATTTTAACAATAACGGTACAAATATACCGTTCGAATGACTCGTAAATTTAAACGAGAGCTCGAACGCGATTCGTCATTCGATTTAATACACTATTTAACTGACGCGCCATCTTGTCGACGTTTAAATGCGATTATCGGAGCGTTAAAAAGATCTCTTTGTAACGAGTAATAAAAGAAGGGAAGGAGAAATTAGAGATATAGAAAAAGTAAAGGAATAAGTTTTCTTATTTTTTTTATTTGCCGTATGTGTGTGTTTGTTTCCTTTTTTTTTTTGGTTTTTGTTCTCGTTTCTTTCTTTTTTTTTCTTTTTTCTTTTCGAAGGCGGCAAATTTAAAATTTGCAAACAGTGTGTCTACTATTAGCAAACGAACGATCTTGAATAGGTACGAATTGGCACGAGTTACCACCGACCGACTGGGGCTTGTGTTGTTGCGTGGGTTTGGCATACGATTACAACAGGTGGGAGTTGATCCCAACCTGTTGCTTGTTCTCCTCTAACACTGAGAGAATCTCCGATCCAAGACATTTCGTTATTCTCATTACCCTTTCTTCTCGTGTTTAGCACGATTTTATTTATTTTTCTATCTTTTTTTATTTCCCTTCTCTTCGCAAATCGATATGTTATTGAGACATTAAAATCAAATTTCGATACCAAATCGTACGACAAGTCGTATTTTCTAATTTATTAAATTTATCGTTCTATTGAAAGAGAAACAAAATTAAACGCTATGGTGCATTAAATTAATTTGATAAGATTTATATTTTTATAACGACATTTTTATTATATTTTATTTCATTTCAATTTTTCTAATCTCGATAAGATTAGGATATTTAAAAGCAAATTTCGCGCCAAATTGCAGATTAGAAATCGATCATATTTGCTAATTGATGAAACTCGTTGTTATCTAGAAATATCAACATAAAGAAACTCTAAATTATGCTGATTAATTCGACACGATTTTTATTTTCGAGAGAACATTTCTATTCCTTAAGAAAAAAAAAAAAAAAAAGGAAAAAAAAAGAAAAAAAAAGAAAAGAAAAGAAAAGAAAAGAAAAGAAAAGAAAAGAAAAAAACACGTTTGCCAATTGACAAACGTGACACTTTAACATAATAAATCGTCAGAAGAAAGGATCTACACAAGGATTTCTAATTTTCACTGGTCAATTTTCTCTTTCTTTTTTTAACCCTAAACCCCTCTCTCTCTTCCTCACTCCTGTTGTTAAATACTTGTTAAGTTCCTCAGATTTCGACAATAATTACATAAAAAGATCGTTGTTTCGTAACAACGATCCAAGTCTCATGAGAAGATCTCTCCTCATGAGTAAATAAATGGCAGGAAGCTCATCTATTCGGAAAGTTCTTTAATTCACATCTTTCAACCTAGACTTACGACTTAGACTTAGACATAAGTACATACGTATTTACTTACTCACTCACTCATTTATTTATTATATATTATGTACGAGCAAAATCGTGATGTATTTATAAAAAAAAAAAAAAAAAAAAAGAGGTCTTTTGATATTTTATTTTCTCTCTCTCTCTCTCTCTCTTTCTCTTTCTCTTTCTCTCTTACTTTTTTTCATTCTCGTATGTTCCGTTTTCGTGACAAAAATGGTCAGACTACATTTTCGTGGTCGGAGAAGCATGTCCAGTGAGAATCATCGGGCTTAGTCATCATCCTATCGTTCAGAAATTATCATCGTACAGGAGAAAACGACGTCATTATAATTTCAAATAGCTGCCTAGATCGAAACTATTCTTCGTGGAAAATTCTAAACGATTTTCCTTGCATGTTAAAAGACGGAAAAAGAGAAAGAGAAAGAGAAAGAGAAAGAGACAGAGAAAGACGTTCTCGACCTTCTAATAGCAATTAACAACTTGGAGGTTGAAAGTCGATCCGTGACCTTGAATAAAAAGAGACAGATGGATAGATACAAGTGGATAGCTTTAAATCAATCCTTATCTCGATCTCTCGATCCTCCTTCATGACGTTTATGACATTTATCTCGTAACATTTAATGATCGATCTATCGTTCCTTTCCTTTTCTCTTATTATTATTTCTTTTTCTTTTTTTCTTTTTTTTCTTTTTTTTTTTTTTTTCTTCTTTTCTTCTTACTCTCCTTTTAAGCAATATTCTCAGGCACGAGACAAATCATCAACGAAGTTGTTTGACAATGAGAGTACGGGTTTAACCAGAATAGTACGTTCTACTTTCTGTTTCAGATATGGCATAAGCAGTGCTTCAAGTGTCAGGGCTGCGGTATGACCTTGAACATGCGAACTTACAAAGGCTTCAACAAACAGCCATACTGCGAGGCGTAAGTTAATACATTTCTAATTCTAATTTTTTTTTTCTCTCTTCTTTTCTTTTCCTTTTCTTTTTCTTTATTTTTTTTTTTTTTGATTTTTGATTTTTGATTTTTGTATGATAAAGCCATGGGTTATATACAATCGCAATTTCTACAAGTTCGTTCGAAATCTCGTTAAATGGGGGGAGGGAAAAAATACAAACGTAACGATCGTACTTGTCGTATTTTTTTTTTTTTTTCAACGAAACAAATATCTTTGATAATTTGATCAAACGACCCACGTAATCTCTTATCTCTTTACAATGTAATTTCTAAATTACGACATTCGTAAAACACGAATTAGATTTTATATTATTTGTGTCTTTTTACTTCGAATAATCGAAGTTTCTTTGTATCGGTGCTTGGATAAAAATTTCCTAAGTGCTTTCGAGAACGTTTAATTTTATAACTATAAATTTAAAAACTTGTAGTTTTACAATTTGAAAGAAAGAAAGAAAGAAAGAAAGAAAGAAAGAAAGAAAGAAAATTGGCCCAAGTAGTCTTGAAAAATAGTAATTGATTTTTTAAAATTATCTAGGGGCTTTTAGTTCATCTTTCATAAAAGATATTGTTAATTAATGAAGTAAAAAAATTAAATAAATAAAATACAATAAAATGAATTGTTCTCTCTCTCTCTCTCTCTCTCTCTCTCTCTCTCTTTCTCTCGTGCAATCGCGTACAGGAGATATGATTCCCAACGATTTGTAAGCATAGAGTAGAAAGAAAGATGGCGTCGAGGGCAGAACGAAATTGACTTCGCGTTAGGGTTAATTTCGTGCGCTCGACGAAAATTAATCGGCTCCGTTAAGCGTGTATAAGCTGAACGGACGGGAGCTCCGAGGGGAGAGCCGTAAAGTCTCATAGCGCTCTCCTGTGATAAGCTCCCAACACATGCTGTTTTTATCTTCTCTCATGCTCGTTCGCTCGCTCTAAAAATGGCTTCTTCTTCGGAGATACGCGAATGTACAAGCTAAATATAGACTCCTGAAGAGAAGAAGAAGCTACCCAAAGTGGATAACGTGTCTAAATTAATCATCTAAAAAAAATTGTATTTCTTTTTCTTTTCGGAGTTTTTCTTTCTTTTTCTTTTTTTTTTTTTTTTTTTTTTTTTTTTTTTTTTTTTTTTTTTTTTTTACGAAAAGATATATATATATATATATACATATATACACATAAAAGATAAAAAACATTAATTATCAAAATTCATTTTTGATCCTATGAAGAAAAGAAAAAAGAAATTATCGCATTTGATTCATTATGCATCAATTTTATGTCATTGATTACGTTGAATGGTAATAAGAGATTACGTTGGTTAATACAGGGTGAGTCGAATGTTTCCTTAAATGATTCGAAAAATTGATTAATCCTTCTCGAGACTTCTTTAGTTAGCCTGTAGTTTTACGATCTAAAAAAAAAAAAAAAAAAAAAAAAAAAAAAGAGAGAAATGGAAAAGAAAATATAGTTAATATTAAAACGTCACGCGTAGAGTGTAATTAATATTTACAATTGAAATAGTCTAATCCATGAATTTTTCTCCGTGATATTTTTAAATTATTTCTAAAAAAAAAAAAAAAAAAGAAAAAAAATAATATCATAATACGTATCACAACGTACTCGGATGTAGAGAATGGTCATAGATTGTCGGCCATCTCTACTCACGTCTATTGGATTTCGTTTGGTGGAATGATCGACGGTAATTCGATTATTCGTCGGTACGACAATTAGAATGGCTTCTTGCTGTGGCTTCTCCTTCATATTTTTCTCTTCCTCTTTCTCCTCATCTTCATCTTCTTCTTCTTCTTCTTCTTCTGTAGCTCTGTCTCTTCTTTTAAAACTCGATGCAAGCAAGATGCATCTTTCGTTGGATGATTCGACGACAATATTTCCACTGTATACGCGGTCCGATGATGAAATCTTCCTGCTCTCTGCAGATTCGAAGTTATGTTTCTCTCTCTCGCTCTCGTTCTCTTCCTTCCTCTCAACGTCCTCCTTTATCGTACATAATTCCTTTCGTAACGATGAGTTATACGGTTGAATTAACATCACAAGTTACTCGATAAGTATAATACGATGAATATAGTATAACGATGAAGAAAAGATCTATGATAAACGAAGGATATGACAAAGTGAAGTTAGGTATTTATATTAATAACGATAGAGTAAAATAATTCGATATTTTTTCTTTTTTTTTTCTTTTTTTTTATAGTTGAAAATTTCCCCCCCCCCCCCCCCCCCCCCCCACTCGACTCTTTCTCTTTCTCTCTCGCACGAGGAAAATGGAAAATTCCAATTGTCCGCGTTGCAAAATTGAAATTTTACGTCGATAAAATGGAAAAAAGAAGAAGGAAAAAACAAAAAGAAAAAAGAAAATTACACCTATGACCGATTCGTAAACGCGTTAACAATATAATATTCATCGTGTAATTGTGGATAATTTGTGATTATATTTGTAAAATCTACAAAGGACGAAGAAAAATACGAAATGAAAAAATATACGAATGACGGAGTACAATAATTTTCTGATTTTTTTGTTTTTTCATTTTTTTTCTTTTTCTTCCCTCTTTTTCTTTTTTCTTTTTTTCTTTTTTATTTTCCTTTTCTTTTCGTCTATTGAAATGTCCCCGTCCACTCGCGCGACT